ACATGACAGTGGCAGAACTGAGTAATTTCAGCATAGATGTATGACTTGCAAAGCCCAAAATATTTACTATTTGGCTGTTTACACTGAAGGTTTGGTGACCCCGTGCTTGAATATAGATTGTTTTTTTAAATGCTGAAAGAAATGCAGTCTGTTTTGCCACCTGTCCGTTATTGCTGACAACATTATGTTTTTAGTTTGACATTTAAAATTTCCACCAGAAAGATAAAATTGGATCCAGTGAGAAAAGAAGGAAGGCATTAAACAGTTTAAAATATCTATACTTTCTTAAATCTTCATGAATGGATGATACAGACATTTAAACATTTCATCTATAGGCACTTATCTCTGTATGTTAAAAAACTGCTGAAATTTTAAATATGATGGTTGTCTACTCTTTTAAAGAAGGCTTTGTTTTGTTTTTTGTTTTTAAATGCAAGAATTGAATGTGTTGTTGCTAGTGACACTGTGCTGGGTCGTTTAAAAACACATTCTTCCTGACCCTTAAATGTTGTTAAAAACATGTGCCAAGAATTCATCATAGCAGCAGACAACACACCCAAAATACTGAGCTAGAGCTTACATAGCCACCCCCTTCCCTGTCATTTTTTCCTTTAAACCTTAGTTAATTTTCTTTTGATTGCTAGTTCACATTTCTCTGGTCTCTCAACTTGGAATAAATGACATTCTGTATCTCTTGGATTGCTTCACCTAGACTTCAGCCGTCAGGAACCAGTGAGAGGTGGGAACAGTTTTTCTTTCACATTCCCTTGCTCAACAATTTCATTGTTTTGCCCAAAGAACTATTTTGCAAAGCTTCTGATCTTGTCACATAAGGAAGTTCCTTCCACCCAGCTTTAGTAACACGGCATAAACAACTCATGGTGTAGTTGCTAATAGTTCCAAAGGCAGCATTTTCATAAGTCATGCAAACTGCAAATAGCAGTGTGGAGAGGGAGGAGTTTTAAGTATGAGTCTTCCTGAGTTGAGACTTGCCCACTGGCTGCCTCACGTATACTTTCTTCCCTTGAATAATTGGAGTCACAGAGAGAACTTAGAGTATATGACACTCTACGAAAAAACAGAACAGAAAAATAGCATTAACAAGTGTCTATTTTTGTTTCTGCCATTTCCTGAATGTACTAGTAGGTATACAATTTCATTGGATATTCCTTTTTTTTTTCAATTGTCTTTGTACCTATGGTTGAAAACGGTAGTTGGTCTATGACTTTTGAAGAGGTAAGTTTTTAATCTTATGTGTGTCTGTATCAGCGTCTGTCTCTTTGAAAAATGCAGTATCCTCCTCCCAAAAGTTACTAACCAAACTTTCACAGTGGTACATCTTCTATGGAGAAGTGAGGGAACTGAGGAGGAAAATTGTTGTCTCCTTTTTGTTCAAATGGTGCCAACTGTGTGAGATGGAGTATGCTTCAGACTACAGTGTGAGTTTTAAGGGTTATGTAACCAGTGTCTCCTATACTCTTTTCTGAAAGGCACAGGAAGCAATCTTCCTGTTTTGTTTACAGGCTCTGAGCATTCAGCACCTCTGCTTTTGTAGACTTACAGCATGTGGCTATCTCTGGGCTGACTGAGGTTATCCGGGCCAACTTTGAGTCTCTCCTGTGGGCAGACCTTGCCAACGTTTCAAAATGAACCAAACAAGGTTACTACCTTTTCCAAGCCTGTTAAACCTAACCTCCTCCATTCCGGTGTAAAGGCAAACTTTTCTTAAATCAGTCAGTTCTGAAAAGAGTTCTGGCTCCTTGGGAAGGGCTGGAAAAGACAGCTGAGCAATGTCAGCTCTATTAACTCCTGGTCCGTATGGGCAAGTTCTTCACAGGAAGTCTCTCCATCTCAGTAGCTGTGTCTCACTGTAGTGGCACTCAGTGGCACTCAAGGACTTGTTGAGTACACATCGACACCTTCAGGCTCATACTTTGGAGGACGATACTGCATTTTTGGCCCTGAAGCTTGCTTTCCCACTTGTCTGTGAGTGCAGAGCAGGAGTCTGACACTTCCCACTGTGCGGCTTGCTTTGCAGACACCAAACTGAAGCTTCTTGCTAAAGCAAAAGCCAGTAGTTGCGCCCCCTAGGCTATTCTGCTTTTGAGGGATCCTCAGACACTCAATTTCTCCCATTTTTCCTCAGCCACACCCCTACCCCTTTATATGTGTCTCTCTGAAGAAGGGTTTAAGTTGTAGCAGTCATTGCAATGAGAAGATACCAGTCAGAATTTCAGCTTAGTTCACTCACCTCCTTCTTCCGTAGCATATAATCCATCAGACAGTTGTCTTTGATCAGTAGTGAAATAGCTACCTAGTATGGTTTTTAAATACTTTAATAAAATGCGTTCCCACAAACATCATGTGCCTTTACCTGGAGGTTATTTTAATGCAATTTAAAACAGGTAACTGTAACCTGAAAAACTGGTAACTGTGACATTTTTACTTGTGCTAAATTAACATAATGTAAATAATAGCTAAAGAAGCAATTTGTACCATGTAGTTCTTTGAGTACAGTTTCAGTAGAAATAGGACACTTCACTCAGGATTAGGTATTGAAGTAGGCTCATCTTGGTCTCTTGAAAGGATTTATCAAGAAATTAGAAAAATCTCTTCCCCACCTAAGCCTGTACATTGTGAAATAGGTAATGTTGAAATTATGCTGGGTGTTGCTGTTCGTTCCTGGCAAGGAAACTTACTAAAAAAGTTTCCAAAACCTTTCTGAGTTTTAAATGTAAGTTTTCTGCAGGTATATAAGTTCTTTCCACTAAAAGAAGTAATAGATGTATCAGAAGTAAAAATGGACTCTCCAGCCCTTGCTAGAAAGTGAGTTCCTTTCACAAAGATCAGGAGGTTAATTGTAGAAGCTCTGGCCTAGCTCCCTCCCACGCTTATTATGCTTCCATGGGAGGGCAGAACATGTGTACATTGAGGGAACACACAGAATTTAATGAATACAAGTTGACTTTACAGATGTGGATGCTGTCTTCCCAGGGTATCTGGGGCGAGAGTTCTTGGCAAGGCAGCACTTCTCAGGTTCTACTGAGCCTGACACGGAGGATGAGACACTGCAGCTTTGTGTAGAATGTGACCTTCTATCAGGAGTGGACTAAAAAGGGGTTTTTTGGTCATTTCAGTACTTTTATTTATCCTACCAGTGAAATTCAAATTGTAAATTGCCTGTTTTTAAATAAAACTTTCAAAACATCCTGTAACAAATGTATATTCAGTGTAAATACTTTGGAAACATTTTTAAAGGATGGAGGACAACACTAAAAAAAATCCACCAACTACACTGTTTATATAAACTGTTTGTATTGTTATAAAAATGGGATTTTCCAGTTATATCTTTTTTTTTCTACAAGGTGAGATATTTCCTGTTGTTATTTTTCTGTAAGATTTTATTGTGTGGAATTCTGTCCTGAATTTACCTAGATATTTAAGTGATATGTAATATTTTATTAGATATCTTTTAAAAGAATTTTTGACATCCCCAAACTATCCCAAGCCCCCCCCCCCCCCCCAAAGAAAAGATATAGTCAAATATTCAGATTTGTCCTTTAACTTCTCTGGTGTCCTTCCCTGTTTATGAGTGCTCTGCCCCCAGGAGAACCTCAAGGAGAGCCTGTTTTTAGTCCTTCTTTAAAAATAAAAACAAAGCAAAAAGCAAAACATAAAAGACACATTAGGTTCTCCTTTTTCTGTAGAAGAGACACAGATAAAATTAACTTTGCCCAGCCCAGTGTGCTGTGAAACACTATCTTCCAGAACATGTATTCGTCTTCTGTCTTCTTTTCTCTGGTTTTGCCACCCTTACAGAAAACAGTCAGGGATGTAAATCTAAAACCAGCAAGGCATCGTCACATTGAAGTCTTTCTGGTCAGCTGGCTTGAATCTTTTGTAACTGTTAACAGTAGCAAAGACAACAGTTTGATTTGTTTTTTGTTTTTTGGGTGGTTTTTTTTTGGCACTGGGGAGGGAACTCAGGACGTTGGGCTTTTGAGGCAGGCACAGGCGGGGCACCACTGAGCTAAATCCCTGGCCCCAGCAGTAGATAATTTGGAATGGAAGACCCTAAGTTGGTATTTGAAAATAGGTATAAACATAACAAGTTCATAATGGCTAAAGGGAGACCTTGCTTCATAAGAATTAATCACTTCGTGCTTTGGTCACATAATTTTGGTTCAAATTTTTTTTCTGGAAGTTCAAGGGTATGGAAAAAAAGACAGCTCAGTAATTTATTTTACCCAGTATCTTTTTTTTTTTTTTTTTTGCACCGAGGATCGAACTGAGGACCTAGCGCTTGCAAGGCAGGTGCACTGCCGCTGAGCTAAATCCCCGGCCCTGCAGTATCTTTTTATCTGAAGTTTAAAGAAAAGAAAACAAACATTTAGAAACTTATTATAGGTACTATGGCTTTTACTAACACAAAAACATGTTTTCAGAAGAGTAAATACTCTTACTCAAATAATTTTTAAAAATTAGCTCATAGCAAGATCGTGAACCCCCATATCTTGACTTCATTTAGAGTGTTCTTAAATATTCTCTATTGATGAGAACCCTGATCCTGGAAGACAATGTGATGATCATCCCTACTGTGTCTTACAGTTTTTCTTGCAGTCAGGGGTGGAGCTCCCATACATGTTTCAAACAAAGAATTGCTTGTGTCTGTGCTCTAGGTCTCTATGAGAACCTCATGGGATTGGGAGTCTGGTTGGAAATTTTGCTCTTGTGGTTCACTTTTTATAATAAGTTCAGTCTGGAGGATTTGAGGGACAATTGTTAAGTCTTCTGGGTAGAGTACCACATCCGCACTGCTGGCTAAACTCACTGTTGTTTCCCAGACAGCAATCCTGCCTTCCCATGCCACTTGCTCCTCCTTTTTACACCTCCGAAAGTTCACTTTGTTGTTGTTGCTTATTTTTCCCATTAGCTCCTTTTGTTTGTACTGTATGTGCAGATACTAATATTCACCTCTGGCTGTTGCTGTTTTTCTACAGAGGGAGAACAGAAGATTACAGGAGGCCAGCATGAGATTGGAGCAAGAGAATGATGACCTTGCTCATGAGCTCGTAACCAGCAAGATTGCTCTGCGGAATGACTTGGATCAGGTAAAATGGTCGTTCACTAGGTAGAATTGAGTCTATGACAACTCCTGGAGGGCAGGGAACCACATTGCTCTCCCCATTCCCCCAGCTCCCTCTGCTCTAGGTGCCCCTGAACTGCTTGATAGACAGGTGAGTGGGTGGCAGGTGGGAGGGGACCAATGTAGTCACTACTCTAGCTTCACCCCAATCTTGTACATGTTAGAGAGACTGGAAAATGAAGCCTTTGAGAACAGTTTGGGTCACTTCCAAATAGCACGCATGAAATATTTTTTTAGACCTCTAATTTTCTCTGATGTCTCTTCTATCAGTATTTTTCCTAAACCAAGAACTGCCAGCATAACTTAGTCACCCAAGAGTATACTAATGCTGCTCTGACATTTGTAGGCTCCTTACTTTTTCTTCCAGTAAGAATTCTCATCTATAATGAATGTGAAATTTCACATGAAATACATACATTAAGAGTTGTATTGTTGGGCTGGGGATTTAGCTCAGTGGTTTTGCCTCCTGCTGCGCAAGCGCAAGGACTGGAGTTCGATCCCCGGTACCAAAAAAAAAAAAGTTGGATTGTTGGATTGACAGGCATCTTAGTGGCTAAGAGCCAGAATGCCTAAATGTTGGTCTTGCCATTAACCAAACGACCCTGCGCAGTTCTTTACTTTCATTAGATATAGAAAAGCATCTCCCTTATAGGGATGATGTAAGAATTAAAGTAAAAAGGACCGGGGATTTAGCTCAGTGGTTTCACCGCCTGCTGCACAAGCGCAAGGACTCAAGTTCGATCCCTGGTACTAAAAAAAAAGAATTAAGGTAAAGCACTTCAGTAGTATGTGTTCAGTAAATGTTAGTTATTGCTAGGAAGACCTTAAATTGTTTACCTTCTCTTGCTCTTCTAAAAAAGTGCTGACAGTCTCAGGACTTCCTGTTTTCTACTGCTGATATTTTCAGAGATGACTGGCAAGATGGAAGCAGTTTTGTGCAGATTTAAAATTATTTCCCTATTTTCTGACTTCTCAACAGTAGATTGAACAGATGGTACAGGATCAGAAAAATTGAAACACACTGTTCAGTCTGAAAGAGTCACTACCTGTGCTGTATTGTGCATTGACAATATTTAAAATGCAGACTCACTAATAACATAAATCTGCATATGTGTTGAAAATTGAAGGATAGCTAAAAATGGTCTCTGCCACTTCTTTTCCCCTCATATAAGCAGCTCAAAAGTTTTAACCACAGTAAGGTGAGAGAGATAAGACCCAAATGTCAAGGAAAGTAGAGCTAACAGGGAGAGGAGGAAGCTGAGGGAGTGAGCACTGAATGGAATTGACCACCGCCACTCCCACCCTGGCCTGTGCCAGGGATGGAACCCCGGGCCTCCTGCAGGCTAGGCAAGTGCTGTAGCACAGAGCTATACCCCCAGTCCTGGAATGGACTTTGAGGTGATAAAAGAGAAACTATACTGTTTGGGACATGGGGTGTAGGAGGCAGAAAAAGCAGACCATTAAAAAAAAATTGCTCACAGGTCGGGGATTTAGCTCAGTGGTGCTGCTGCCTGCCTCGAAGGCCCAAGGTTCTGAGTTCAATCCCTGGTACCAAAAAAAAAAATTCATATGCAAAGTTGTTTACTGAAGTGCATGTCCAATAGTATGATAGTATATCCATTAAATATCTTTTTGAAATAATTTTTTATTCTTAAATATAGTAATTTCAACAATCAGGAAAAAAATACTATTTTAAAAAAGAATTTCACCCCCAAGAGAATCCTTGTTGTGGATCAGCCTAAAATGACTGCTATTAGAGGGTACTCCTGAATAATTGATTATTTAGTACCCAGGTATCTCAAGGTGAGGGTATGAGATCAGCGCTTGAAGAAACAACTCCTTCAGTCCTCTGTCCTCTCTCTCTCTCTCATGTAGTAAGACCTAGATCCTATGTTTTGGACCTAATTATCTAGATGACAGAATAAAAATTTCTCTTTCATGCGTATCACCTAACTTCATTTTGCAGTTTCTTTCTCCATAGGGGCTTTTTGCTGCCAGTGTTCCCTGCAGTTTAAGTGTCCTGCCCTCTGGAAGGGCAAGTCAGCCCAAGTGAAAGCACAGCCTCACCTAGTTCATTCCGTTTATTAAAATCAGATCTCTTAATCAAAGTAGCAAAGCTTCTACGAACATTAAACTGGCATGAAAGCAGGCTATGTGTGAGACTGTGTAAAGTAAACCAACACTGGTAAGATAATTAGGTATCTTTTCTCATCATTGTCATTATAGTGTGGCTTCAGGCCTCCAGGGGACCAAGGATTCTTCAGTTTCTCTTCACAGAAAGAGTCTTCCTTTTTTTCCTGATTCCTTACATAGGGATGTTTCAAGGATTAGAAAGGAAAAAGATATGTCTCCATTTCAGTTTCTGTTGCTACCTGCTTTCAGCCCTTCTTGTCTTTCCCTGTTCTCAAGGAACAAAAAAAGAGACACAAAAGAATATGTCCCTAAAGACTATATGTGTGTTTCTTTTAACCACAGCAAGTTCTGTGTTGTTAGACCAGAAAGTAAGAAGTTATACATTATTTTCTTTCATTTTAAATTGAGCGACTGTCTTGGCTGGTTCTTTCAGGAATCATTCCTGAAAGATCCTCATCCCTGACATTAGAGCGTTGTGACCAGGTTGTGGGCTGATTCGTGTTTAAAGTACATGTTACAATGCTTGTTTCTCAGTAACCTTAGATTATAGTCAAACCTTTCAGTTAGACATAAGATGTTTATAAATGACAGTGTTCCACTGAGTCTTACTATCATGATAAAAGTTTTATAAATTTTTTCCAGAGGCAGAATTGGAATAACTGTTTACTATTATGTTCATTTAACATTAAGGATAATTTCTGTTTAAATAAGGAGTAATGATTGGCTGTACAAAGACCCAGAAGCCTTTTTTGTTTGTTTGTTTACTGTTGTTTTTGGTGAGTTTTTTGTTTTTGTTTTTGCTTTTTGGTTTTTTGAGGCAGGGTCTTGCTATTAGTTCAGGTTGGCCTTGAATTCACTGTGTAGCCCAGGCTGGCCTCAAACTCATGGCAATCCTCCTGCCTCAGCCTCTCAAGTGCTGGGATTATAGGCATGCACCACCACGCCTGGCCAGAAACCTATTTTTACAAGGAGAACCAAGTTATTTCAGATCAGATTATTGTATATTTTGATGAGGACAGTTGGTCCTACTTTACAGTTTAACCTAGAGGAGAAACTTGGGGAGAAGCTTCCTGGAAAATTGTGGGACCTCTCCCTTGTACTACTAGGACCCACAGCAGATGGGGGCTCCACATGGTGGCTGTGATAACAGAAGTAAGGTTGCCTTACCTTGACTAGTGAAGACCATGTAAATAAAACTAATAGGGTCTTTAGCATAAATATTTAGGTGTTTCTAAAATAATTTTCTCAGAGAAGTGGTTTTTTTCCCTGTTACAGAGGTTTCCAAAATTACAAAACAGCAGGATTCAAGTAGCTTGTTCCTGAAGTCGTATAGCATTGACTATTCAAGTTTCCAAAAGGCTAAAATTTTGGATGAATCTCTTTAAAAAAAGATCAAATTTATAAAAACATTTACTTTATTTATTTTTTATTCAATTATTTTTGGTACTGGGGAATCCAACTCGGGTCCTTGTGCTTGCACAGCAGGCAGCGAAACCACTGAGCTAAATTCCTGGCCCTTAAAGACATTTATTTTAGAGTGTCATAATACATAGTATTAAAGATTATTTTCTTCCCTTGGTGGAAATTGCTGGAGGGTACGGGAAGAGGAGGTTTAGTAGCGGTCCTTTATACGGACAGGACTCAGACCTTCTGGGGTGAAACTTGAACCACTGGGCTGCAGTTACAGGGAGTTAGAGTAGGTGGATTTTAAGAACATTAACATGATCAGTACAGCTGCTCTTAATATGCCACTCCCTGACCATCCGCCAGAGACTTGGAGGAGGCTCTCACTGCTTAGAGAGTAACCTCAGTCATCTGGCAGCAGCTCTAGAATTCAGTTTTGAGCTTCCATAATCAATATCAGATAACCTACAATTTGTGAGAACTTAACTTGCAGCATTTACAAGTTGCATTGTTTAGGTCTGCCTCTAATTTTAGCATGTCCATTTGCTGTTCAGAATTTTTGTCCTAAAATTTAATACATCAAAACAAATTTTAAAGTCTTTAAGACTTCTGAGGGACTTTTTCACCTAAATACCCAATAGTTCCAATGCTCTGGGAACAGAGCTATGACCACTGGGATATGGGATCAGAGGAGCTGGAAGGCAGTGAGAACAGAGGCTGGGCTGCAGTTCTCTGCCAGTCTCCAGCAGACTGTGCTGGCCTGGCCATCTGGACGTGTGGGAGATACAGGGAAACAGAGACAGGGACACCTGGTCCGTTTGCATGATAACTTGGATAATATTTGGCTGCTGTCGGCCAGGGATAGCTTTGTCAGATGGCAGTCTCTCCTCTACCTCAGGGTTTTTCTCTGCTGAGCTTATCCTGTGGCCCTCTGCCACCTCCACTGCACAGTCTGCTTCTGCAGTGACTTAGAGAACCATATCCATATAGCGAAGAGCAGAAGAGATATGGTTCCTCCTGGAGCTTAAAGTCTACAGGGCACGACACATCACATGTGTAACCTATCATTACAGTGCTATCAAGGGACACAGGAGAGATGGGAACAGCAGAGCTGGTTCAGACTGCAGTGAGTGGGGCAGAGGTCAGTTCTTGCTTTACTGCCATGTGAACAACGTGGCTCAAACTGAAAGGAGGAGAGGACCATGAAGTATAAGATGGTGTTAGCCACATGTGATAGCACGTGCTTGTATTCCCAGCACTGAGGCAGGAGGATCACAAGTTCAAGCCCACACTGGGTGACTTAGCAAGACCCTGTCTCAAAATTAAAAGAAAAAAATCAAAAGGGCCAAGAATATAGCTCCATGCTAAGACCCTGGATTCAAATGCCAGTACTACAAAAAACAAAACAAAACAAAAACATAGACAATGATAACCAAGTTAAATGTATATACAGTACTTTTGTAGGTAATTTTGACCCTGTGTCTAAGTTAAAATTAGAGCGCTCTCTCCAAGCCCTTCCTGGGGATTCTAGAACATTTCCCTCCCTGGATTCTGGTCCGTACTTCGGTTTCCCACATGGATCTCTCTATCACAGGTTTTTGGTTTTAATTTCTCATTACTGCACTCACTAATCTGGGTGAGAGGCCTCGTGACTGGTTCACCTCAGTGAGTTTTTGAATTTTCTCACCTAACTATTGATTGTGGATCAGCCTGTCCGCTTGTCTTCTCTGATCCCTCTCATCCCGTCTGGTCCCTCACTGGGACCACCAGTGAGAAGCTGCTATATGAGGCTCTTGTTTCCCCTGAGATCCATCTTCACAGAGTGAATATTGTCATGGCAACCGAAAATGTGTAAGAAGTGTTTAGAAAGAGCCTGGACTTCCTGTCAGTCAAATGCGAGTGCAGATCATGACTCTGATATTAGATTGTGTGACCCCAAACAGCTTATTTGATCCCTCCAAACCTCACTGTCCTTATCTATAAAATTAGTGTTCTGTGAGGATTAGGAGTAATGTGTGCTAAGTGCTGGGTGCATAGTTGGCCAGAGACAGCACCTGTCCCCGGAGCAAGCTGGGAGAGAAAAGAGGCTTTCTGTAATTATGGAGCACTGAGTGGAGGCTGGGTTTGAAGATGGCGCACACAAGTCCTTTTCCTTCCTCATGGCCGTGATGTGCCCTGACTTGCAGGCAGAAGACAAGGCGGATGTGCTGAATAAGGAGCTCCTCTTGACCAAGCAGAGGCTGGTGGAGACTGAGGAGGAGAAGAGGAAGCAGGAAGAAGAGACTGCCCAGGTAAAAGGCACATGTGGACTCTATACACTGGAAGATTGAGAGGGAGTTAAGACTGTAAAAAAGAAGTGAAATTAAATTTATTCCATGTCAAGGATGAAGATACAGCAGTGAATGTAAGCAATTGAGGCTTGACATTTCTTCTGAAGGGTGTTAGAAGAGGTGGCAGTATTTCTGCCCTCGGCAGCTTTTAGGAATTTGCTTTCACTGACATGTGTAGCAAGAGTGTTGAGTGTACTGTAAGTTTAGTAATTTAGGATTATGATCCAAGAGCTTTTGACAAACCTGGAAATTCCGAGTCGTGTCTCCAAGGTAAGTGACTTTTCTATAGTAGTTGATGAGCATTGAAACTGAAAGCCAACAATGGTCTCCTGGGGGTTGCCGCAGAGCCTCCGCCTCAATCAGTCACACTTCATTTTCCTGACTCATGCCTTAGAAGAGGGAGCGAGGGAGGAGGGAGCAGCAACATTCCTGGCAGAGCTTTTAAGCCTTTTCCTTAAAGGGACATAAACCCTTAGGGACCCAGCATCCTGCTGTGTGCATCACAGGAGTACAGAATGGGCAGAGAGGAGTGGAGAGCTTCCTGCTTCCCCCAGGAAGAGCAGGCTGCTTGGCCAGTGACCCTCTGCCCACTGTCCCTGCCAGGAGGCCGAAGATTAGATTGTAGGTTGAAGTTTCCTCACAGACCGTGGAAGTCTACTGCCACGAGTTTGTTTGAATTTACTAATGTATCTAACTTAGAACATGAGGAAACTTCTTAAATCACAATTAATGAGTTTCATTGTGAGGCATCAGTAATCCTAAATATAAAACAGACTATAAAGCACTTCAAAGACCTTCGTCCAAGTAACCAGAAAAAAGTTTCGGTGAAATTACACATAGAAGGATGTGTCATTTAACACCTTCCAAGATTTATAAAAAGTGTTCCATGATTTTTTCCCCCTTGTTAAAATATGTTAAAATGAGTCTTTGGCATTTAGTGTGGCCTAAGCATTATCCAGTTTGTAGATTCTGTAGGTGTCTTGATTGGATTTTGTTTTTTCCTTACCTCTGGATTTCCTTGGGCCATTGCAGTACTTTAGGTGAAAAAGAAGCTATTGGCAAACTAATTTAACCCATGTTGTGCCTGCCCCATTGTCCCATAGATACATACCAGCCCTCGGGTAACTGATACCCAAACTGGGGTGACATTTGCTGAGTACTCATCTAGTATGTATGTGGTAGGAAAAATGCAAGACATTTTACCATCTCTCCCCTTCCGATCTCTTTTGGGCATTTTGATAATGGTATCCTTGTGAAATAGGAATCATTCTCATTTGTCACATGAGAAAGCTGTGGCTTAGAGAAAGTTAGTGACAGTTGCTCAAAGCATCTCGGCCATCTAAGTCTGTCCTATAGTCACTGTGGCCTTATCATAGGAAAGGGGAAGAAGGTTACTGTTTATACCCTAAATATGTAAGATGGAGAGTAGAGGCCCATGTAAACAACTAAGTTTAAATCAGTATAATCTCAAATGGCTTTTAAAATTTTAGAATGTAACAGATAATGAAAAAGTTAGAAATCTTCTAATGATAGAGTCTAATATAATTGCAGTAATTTATGAATTCTCTGGGTGGAATATACCCTACTGATAATTTGGGATGCTGCCTTGGAGAATTCATCTCTATTCTGATTATGTACTTAATGATTAGCCAGAATTGTTTTTTGTTTGGTCAATAATTTGGCAGAACTGAATTCTTTCCTTTTTATCTGTTAGCAGCTGAGCCTTTTTATTACTTTTACCTTTCTCTGTACCCAGAATTCTACAGCTGTTGGGCTACAAACCATCTGTGGTTTTAAAAATAACACTCATAATTTAGCCCTTCAGTGACTGTTACAAGCACCTACATGATGTGTCTCTTTAGCTCCCTCTAAACTTATTCCCAGAATCTTTGGTCCGTCTTAAGAACTCTTCTGTACTTCCATCTTTTCCTGACTCCAAAGCCTCCTGTCCCTGCCTGCAGAGAGGTAATAGCAGTGACAGTAAAAGGCTTAAAACGCTTTTTTTTTTTTTCAGTAATTTATAGCATAACATCAAGAGTAACAAATTCAGGGCCGGGGATTTAGCTCAGTGGCACCATGCCTGCCTCACAAGAACAAGGTCCTGAGTTTGATACCTGGTACCGAGAAAAAAAAAAAAGTAACAAATTCAGCATGCCATTATTTCCTTGATATTTTATTTTAGATTCATAATAAAAGACAGTTTTTGGATACTTCTTAGCAATATAATTGTCAAGTAAGTAGTAAGCATAAACAGTTTTATAATAGGGTTATTATAAATCTTCCACTTTGCAGAAAAGATTTTTACCTCTCTGAAATGATTGTTTTCAAATTATCAGGACAACTTTAGTGAGAAAAATTATAATTTAGTTATAGATGTTAACATTGTCACTTTGAATCAGAAAGACTTGAATATAGATGTTTATGGAAATTTCTTAAGATTTTGCCTGAAACCTAATGTTTTTCTTTCTAGTTAAAAGAAGTCTTTAGGAAACAGCTAGAGAAAGCAGAATATGAAATAAAAAAGACTACAGCTATCATTGCTGAATATAAACAGGTAATATGCCATTGTGGATTTTATTGCTAGAAAAGTAATTACTTTTTACTTTTGCTTTTTGTTTGTTTTTGAGATTTATTAATTTGGTGGCTTATTTTCTCCTGTGAAATAGACAGCAGTTGGATATGCTTGCTGATAACTTGGGAAGTCTAATTGACCAAAGCAATCTGTTCGTTGTTTACAGTGTTTGGTAGATTTAGAGAGATGGGAAATATTACCATTGCGATCCTATTTCCGTCTCACTCAGAAGCTAATTTCCAATAGATCAACCAGTAACATTTGTCTCTTAGTGAAATTTAGTGGTTGTATTAAATGGCAGTAGTTAGGGTATCAGTGCATCTTTTGCTGTCACAGTAGAGAATGTGAGTCCATATCTCCCCGCATGGCTAGTGGCCTGTCTTAGTTACTTTTCGTATTGCTGAAACAAAAACCCAACACTCAAAGTTAAAAGAGGAAAGGTTTATTACAGCTCACAGTTTGTAGAGGTTTCAGTTCATAGTTGGCTGGCTTCAAGGGTGGCATGGCAGAGGAGAAATAATTCATGGCAGGCAGAAGGCAGAAGGGAGCAAGGTAGCAAACAGCAAAGTAATGAAGCAGCAACAAGCAGTGACAATGCAGCCCCCTTTCTGTCCCTTATATTCTGTCCACTTACACCCATTCCTTAATCCTAGCATCAACCATGAATCAATCTCAGCATCACATCCTTAATCCCAACATCACACACTCTAGATCCAGCCACCTCCAAAAAGCTCCACCTGTGACCACGTGAGGATTTGGTGAGTCATCTAGATACAAGCCATAATGTGCCCTTTCCCATTGCAGGCCAGTGCTAGCAAGAAGCTTTCTACTGTGAATTGTTGATTCAATGGAGGGCTTGCATTCCTTGAAGACATTTCTAGCCCCATCACAGGTGGTCCCAGAAAGCCCTCGTTCTAGCTGCTGTTGTATTTTCCTGTCTCTTTTATTGGCTGGATATGACAAGGACTCTAGTTATTTCTGAGAGACTCAGTGGACTGTTCACATTCCAGGCTTTCAGAATTGATTAAAGTACCATATGCCATCTTCTGATCCAAGGATTTCTGTCGGATCATCTGCCTTACATAGCATGTTAAAATATGATGTGAACTATTTTTGCTTGTTTTTAATGTTTTTGTACATATTAGTGAAATTTATGTTTTTGTGTAGAAAATTAGAAAAATGTAGAAAATAGATCTCCTTTAACTTTGCCAACTAAACATTATCACTGTAATATGTTGAGCATGCATTGTTGATATGTAAATAAATGTGACATAGATTTATAATGTGCATAAACAATGAATTATATATTCATCCTATTTTTTGGAAGTAGCTTTAGTCACTTCATATATTATGAACACTTTTTCATCTGAATTCCTCATATTCATGGAAGATTTCAGAGCTGTCTTACTCTCTTTCATGGTAATAACATATGCACGCTCTTTGTGAGACTTAATACTTTAAGGGACCAAAAGATGAATTAATCTAATTTCTCTCCTCTAGAACCTTATCTTGCAATGGGGAGATAATGCCCATGCATAAATAAGAGGAAAGGGCACTTCCTACACCTGGGAGATGAGGATGCCCTTCCTGGCAATGGGATGATTTGAGCTGTGCTTCAGATCTTAGATGAGACTTAGATGTGTGGGAATGGAGGAAGATAAGAGGCAAATGAGGGAAACAAGGAGCAGTACAGAGGCAGATTAACAGAAAAAAACATTTTATTTGGTAAGAGGTTCAAGTATGGAAGAGAAGCATTAATCAACATAAGGAACAATAAAGACCATGTCTCATGTGCTATGGAATTTACCAACACTGCAAATGCATTTTTCTCATTACCACATTTTGCCACTATATATGTATATGTCACATTCTTCAAACAGTAATTTTTGAGACCATTCGTGACTGTTATCAGGCAAGCACTTCAAGTAAGGTAAAAGACAGGAGATCCACCTGATTGAAGATAATTAGGATATAAAACTTACTCTAAATACATTCTGTAGCTGGAATTGGCTGCATTTCAAAATGCTTTATTTTGGGCAGTTTGTTTGTTTTTAAGACAGAGTCTTGCTGTATAATTCAGGCTGGTCTTAAACTCACAGCAATCTTCCAGCCTTGGCCTCCCAAGTGCTAGGATTACAGGCTTGCCTGTAATGCATTCCTAGCATCAAAATGCCTTTTGTTAAGAAGGGCATATGGTTTGCAAAAATTACCTGGGTGTGTCTCTACCCCCAGGATTAAACCCTAGGCTTCACACACGTTTGGAAGGTTCTCTATCACTGAGCTACATCCCTGGCTCTTTTATTTTATTTATTTATTTTTTGAGACAAGTAGCCCAGGCTGGCTTCAAAGTTGTGATTCTCCTGCCTCAGCCTCCCAAGCTAGGTTATATGTGTGTGCCACAGTACTCAGTGTCCCTTCTTTTTAACATTCGTTAATATACCCCTTCTAATTGTTCCACCGGTTTGGGTCTGGAAATACTGGAAACTGAATCAAATAAGTAAGTCTTGGTCTTGAACTATTTGTTAGTAACTGGAGATTTTTTTTAAATGCCCTTTGATAATAGATTTATATCATATTTGTCTCTAGCCTAATTTGGACTTTAAAATTTGACATCTGTTTTTTTCATCAGTTTTGTGGGGTTTTTTTTTCTTATTCATTTATGTATTGGCTCTGGGGGACTGAACCTAGGGCCTTCACACTCAGCCATATCCCCAGGGCGGGGGCATGTGCCCCCCCCCCCCAGCACAGGGTCTTGCTAAATCACTAAATTGCCTGCGCTGGGCTTGAATTTGGGAGTCCTCCTGCTTTAGCCTCCCAGAGTGCTGGCATTACAAGCATGTGGCACCACACCCAATTTTTAAATTCTATTTTAATCCACTTTTCTAAAATAAAAGATTCTTATTTTAGTCAAAGGCTTTGACCATCCAATTTTTTAAACATTGTTTTTTTTCCTTTGAACCCATTAGCACTTTATTTCAGAATCAATAATGATTTTAATAAATACTTCATATTGGCCAGGTTCTTTTACAAACCTTTTGCATACATCTTTTCATTTGATTCTTACAGTATGGGAGTTTGCCATCCTGAGGGAACTGGGGCTTTATAAAGATTAATGAGTTTTCCCAGGATCACAAAGCCATAAACTGGTAGAACTGGACTAGCTTTACATTCAGAATTTGTCTTCAGTGCCCATGCTTTTAATTTCTGTGTTGCAAAACCTCTTAATAAGAGTTTTATTGTAATGCATGTTATTTCTTGGTTGGTTTAACTTTGTTTTCTTCACTCTACTTCTACTCCTTAAGGAATGTTTTGTGATTGGAAATTTTTTGTGACTGGATGAGAGATGTTTCTAGTTCAGAATTCTTTTTATCCTATTCCCAGCATAATACCTTGTACGAGGTAGATCCTCTGCAAAGATTCTATAGATTGATTCCACAGTGAGGCCAGGGATTGGAATTAGTCACAAAAAGCTAGTGACAGCAAGAAACCATATCTATCCCAAGTCTGTTTCTATTAATTAAGACGGAATTGTTATTTTACACATGGAACTTAGGCTTTCTGCTTCTTTTAGAAGTGGCAGTGATATTCATCTGCCAAATGCCCGGGATCAGCTGTGTTACTTTATGAGTTGATAAACTGTTATGTACATAAACATGCAGTGAGTTGTTCTGTTTTCTAGTAAACCTCTCTTCTTTGCCTTAGATCTGTTCCCAGTTAAGTACCAGGCTGGAGAAACAGCAAGCAGCCAGCAAAGAGGAGCTGGAAGTAGTGAAGGTAAGGAGTGAATTAGTTCTGTCATACAACTTCTTTCAATTCATAGTCTGTGAGTACCTGAAAAGACCCCTTCCCCATTTTCTATTATGGAGAGCAGTGTACCTCTTCTGGCTGAGTTGTGACTGAGAGGTGTTCCAGTAATTCACATGGGATGTCAGTGTCGGGGCAGCAGGAAAGGAGGCAGGATTTGAGCATTGGCACAAAAGGCTCCTGAGCTATGTGGCCTTCTTGGATGGTGGGAACCTGGGAACCCTCAGCAGCCCACACGTGAATTGATGCACTTTAGTTTGGGACTCAATGGCATCATCCTATCATTTTTGAGCAGTAAATACCATAAGCAGTATAGAACTTGACTGGAAGAATAGTATATGGTAGGTAACCAACTGATTCTTCAACCAAATTTTCAATGGTTTTTAAAATTATTTTTATTGGTACATTTTAGATATACATAACGATCACAATCATTATAGGGAATTTGTACCTGTACATGATATATCTTCATTCTTTTTTTTCTCCATTCCCTTCCCTCCCTTCAACCTCTCTGCCCCTCATTTACAAAAATTTTGTTTCCAATTTTTCCTGATCTCCCCCCACCCCCATTCCCCTTGAACATTTTCTTCCTATTTCACAATATCTGTTATACATTTTGGTTCTTGTTTTACACCTTCTGTTTCTCACACCAGAGAAACAATGCAATATTTACACGTGTGTCTGATTTATTTCAATTAAAGAGTATGGTCTCAAAATGGCATCCATGTGGTTTGCTTTTAAAACCTGTAGCATTTATTTTTATGCTGCCCCCTGGTGGTAATAATCTTTGTTACTGCTCTATTTGAAAAAAAGTATTTATTTTTTAGAAACAATAAATCAAATGGATTGGTCTTCTTAAGAAGCAGTGTTGGTGGGCCGGGGATTTAACTCATTGGTTCCAGTGCCTGCCTTGTAAGGGCAAGGACCTGAGTTCGATCCCCGGTACCCCCCCAAAAAAGCAGTGTTGGCACAGTCATCTCTTGGGGTCAAGTAACAGAAACGTGACATCCTATTTGAATATGCTTAGGTTTCCTATTGGTAAATAAATGTGTTCTAGGGAATTTACCATAAAATTAACAACTTTAAAAAGTTGTTTAATGTCTTTAATCCTCATTTGGTATTCTGTAAAACAGTGATAACTATCTGGTTCATATAATTATTTTGGTGGTTAAATAGGGATGTATATAAAGTGCTTAGGTTAGTATTTGGCATACAGTAAGTATATATTTTATGTTAAAACCTGAAAAATAAGAGTTTTGTTCTGACATTGTTTTTTTTTGGGGGGTGTGCGGGTGGTACCGGGGATTGAACTTGGGATCTTGTGCTTGCAAGGCAGGGGCTGGAACCAGAGCTAAATCCCTGGCCTGTGACATTGTATTTTAAAAGTAGTTTTTTTTGCACAAGGTCCCGAGTTTGATCCCCAATACAAAAAAAAATAAATAAAAGTTTTTTTCCCCCTTATCTCATGTTACAATACATCGATCTGAGATTATTAGTAAAGAATTGGTGGTCTCCCTCTACAAACCTGCTAAAATTTACAGGTCATAGCTTCTTCTGATTCACCTTTGTATATCTTACTTGGCATTTATCATTGTTTGTATATTATAGGTCCACTAAGATTTAATTAATGAACTGTCTTGCCATAAAAGGGTTAGCTATCTTGAACTGAAATCTTAATGTAAATAAAAATAATTTACACTGATCACTTAGTAAGAATTTAATAAGCATCTACTATGTGTACAGCTATTGGACTGTCACTTTGTTATAGAAATTACACATGAAAAAGAGCTTAGAATGCTCCTGTAAGACAAATACATATGCACATGAAACATTTCAGAAACAGTTGAAGGGTGCTGAGGTGGATTGTGTTGGCATCAGAGTTGTAGAGAAAGCAAAATCATAAGAACTACAGACCAAAGAAGGCTTTTTGGAGGAGGTTGAACTAAAGCAGGATGGTTAGAAATCACTTGAAAAATGGATTTAAAAAGGGCATTCTGGAAGAAACTGTGAGCCAAAATGTGCATTGTAGTCTCATTAAGGAGAGACAGATGTGATCAGGATATGTATTAAGAAACAGAGGAAAATACTGGATAAGTAGTTAAGATTACCTAATGAAAGGCCATGACATTCCAGAAGAATATGAACTTGTGTTAACCACAGTTGAGGACCAACATTCTTTAACACTCACTGTGTGCACTTTTCTACATTGGTCTAAGATTTTACATGTATTAGCCCCTGATGAAGACCAAAACAGGTAATTATTTTGCTCAAGATTACACCACTGGTAAGCAGTGGCTCTAGGACTCGAACCCAGGGAGTGAGACTCTAAAAGTTCATGTTCTTCTCCATTAGACTATTCTTCCTTCCCTTTCTCCAGTGCTGCTACTTCTTCATCTCATTTGCTATGATGTGTCAGCCTCTGATTTTTCCAGCTTCCTATAACAACTTTCCTCTATCACTGCTGCCCCTCACCCCATACACTATCATCAGAATGAACATTCCCAAAGGTAAATTTGACTGTCTTTCTGGTTAAGTTTAGACATATTCTGACATATAGTCAACTCAGAATAAAACTGGATTAAGCACAAAAAGGTGTTGATTATGGTATGTAACAGCAGTCTAGGACCACAAAGGTGGATTCTTGGTTGTCATTAGTGACCTCAGCACCGGTGCCCATCCTCAAGGGCACCTAAAGATCAAAACTGTCTTCTGTCATCACACCCACACTCTAAGGCAGGATTGTAGGCCAGAAGAAGATGCAAGGATATAGGGGCCTTATTCCAGCTGGGTAAGCACTTTCTAAGCAGCTTTCCTAGAAGTTCTGCACTGTATTTCTGCTTACATACCAGAACTCAGTTTTGCAGCCACTCCTATCTTGGAGGGCATTTGAGAAATGTTACCATTTATCTGGAGACTTTGTCAGCTCAAGTAAAGTCAAGGTTCTATCCCTAAGGAAGGGTAGGTTCAGCAGGATCCTACATTTTAGCATATATGCATATAGACTGCACTTCATGGAGCTGACTGCTCTAACATGTGGCGCAAGGTCAGGTGGAGGGAATGAATACATTCTCTATAGGATACAAATCATGATTCAGTGGCATGGTATTTAAGGACATTTGCAACCTGGCCACAGAGAATGCTCATCTCATTTTTTACCCCTCACTTTTGTATCACTTATACTCTGCCTGGCCATTCTGGATTCTTGAAGTTCTCAGAAGGTGCTGGAGTTTGGCATGTTAATTTCTGTCTATTCCTTCTCTGGTTCAACCTAATAAAATTGCTTGTTAAACTTTTGATTATTAGGACCTACATCAAAAGCTAGAATATACAACAAATATTTGCAGTATAGCTATTTTGTGCTGGAACTGGTCTAGTCTTTTAAGATTCTTAAGAGAATGCCAAGTGTTGTTTTTTCATATGTCTGATGAATATTAATCAGGAATATGAAGCATGATACAGACAGGGTAAGAAAAAAGTCAGTGGGGACAAACTAGGTGACTCTTACGTATTCAGGCCTTGGGTGGGAAAATCTTGGACGCATCAGAGAAACAATTTAATGATCAACTGTACATGGGAAGCAGGAGTAGCTGATGAACAGATGACACCCACATCTTCAGGCCTGAGTGATGGAGTGACACAGGCATAGTGACAGAGCAGCACAGTATAGAATTACTTTATGTGTATGTGTGAAGAGAGAAGATTAATTATGGTTATGAACACATTGAATCTGTAACAATAAGACATCAAAGTAGGAGTAGTGTGTAGTATACTTTATAAGTTTTACATTTTAAAAATTAACTTTTATAGTGCTGGGATGGAACCCAGGGCCTTGCATTTGCTAGGCAAGGTCTATTGCTGAGCTACATTTCTATCTCTATCCCTATTTCTAATGAAAGAGATTGAGAAAAACAATAGCACCATTGCTTTGAAAGAGTTGCTCTATTGTTCAGTGTTGTGCTTGACTGGCAACTTGGGAATGTAGTGGAGTTGCTTTTATTACCTTAAACAATGAAGATCATTTGTTTAAAGTTGAATAAGACATGTACTTTGTTATAACGGTAATTTAAGTCAGGCATGATGACTTTAGTGTACTGTACACAAGTGACTCTAAGTTTCTTCATTTATAAAATGGCATGAGACACATGCCTAATCCTACTTGCCTGAGGATTAAATGATACACTACAAGTACAGTATAGGGTGTGAGGCTTGGTGCCTAGTAAGAGTAATGGTAGCACAGATTTCTAAAACAGATTGCAAAGAGAAGCTGTAATATTCCTGGAGTCTTTCTAGAGATACTTAAGGAAAAAAGAACACCTGTCTTGGATAGTTGGGTTTTGTGTTTAATCAAACCATTTGAATTGCAAAACAAGAAAAAGAATACCTTCAGAAATGGGACTGCATTGAGGGTGATAAGTAATATCTTAAATCATATTGGCTGGACATGGTGGCACACATCTGGAACCTCAGCACTCAGCGAGCCTGAGGCAGGAGGATTGCAAATTCGAACCCAGCCTGGACAACTCAGTAAGAACCTATCCCAAACTAAAGAAAGGGGGTGGAACACAGCTCAGTGTGAAGGCCCTGAGTTCAATCCCCAGTACCCCTGCCCAAATCATGTATTTGTTCAGGAAATGATTAAGCCTATGAAAAAGTTTGATGTTGATAATCTCTTTTGGGTATTTCAGGGTAAAATGATGGCATGCAAACACTGCAGTGACATTTTCAGCAAGGAAGGTGCTTTGAAACTAGCAGCCATAAGCAGAGAGGACCAGGGAATTGAAGCAGATGATGAGAAGGATTCACTCAAGAAGCAGCTGAGGGAGATGGAGCTGGAACTGGCACAAACTAAACTACAGCTGGTAGAGGCCAAGTGTAAAATCCAGGTTGGTGATCTGTGATCAATAAGGAAAAAACAACAGTCGTGGTTCAGGCTGCCCTTGTACATTAGAATATGCCTTTCCAGGTCAGAGTCATAAAATGTTACTATATTAGTCATATACATTTCCTGTCCACTAACAGAGTTACATTTTACACCATGTATTTTTAACACTGATATAAACAAACATATAATATTGTGAAATTTTATTTATTTAGTTTATTTTTTGGAGACAGGGTCTTGCTGTGTAATTTAGGCTGGCCTTTGAACTCACAGCAGTCATCCTGCCTCAACCTCCCAAGTGCTGGGATTATAGGTGTGTGCCACCATGCCTGGCCTAGTAAAAGAAATTTTAATCATTAAAATTGTATCTTGTGAGAATTTATGCATATGCTGTTTTAGTTTAACCTGAGAATTTGGTCACTTTGGTAGCTGATCCTGAAAGGCCAGTTTCCTCTGATATCCTTCCCTCAACAGCTGAGCATTGGCAATACCTAATTCTTTTCTTGTGAGCTTTTTTCTCTGCAGCTGATTTTGCCATGTACCCTTTTCCATTACATCAGCAAACAAGTCCTGGCTTCTAATGGACTGTTCTCCATTTCCTTTACCAGTGACCCCTGCCAACCACGTCCTGCCATGGTAACAACTATGTCATAAGGCCATCTTTAACTGTGCCACCTGGAACCCTGGATATTTTCATGAACAAAGGCCTTATCTTTGGAATGGGAACTCTTTCATGCTTACACTAACAGTAAAAACTCACTACATCCATATGTTTGTGGTTTTAAGTATGTTATTTTGAGTTACAATCTAAATCTAAATTTTTACCTAGATTGCAAGAGGGAAAAAAATGTAATGAGGTTTCATTTTACTTTTCAGAGAAAGCACAGATTTCTGGCTTTCAGTGATAACTCTTTTAGCTCTAAAATTTTTCCTTCCAGGGCCAGGGATTTAGCTCAGTAGTTTCGCTGCCTGCTGCGGAAGCACAAGGACCCGAGTTCGATCCCCAGTACCAAAAAAAATAAATAAAATAAAATAAAATAAAATTTTTCCTTCCATTAAGAAAACAATTAAATCTTTCCTGGGTTTTGAGGAAAACTGTGGCTGCATTGATTTGGGGATTCCAGAAAGATATACTCTCAATTTCTTTTGGCAGAGAGAAAATATTTATATAACTCAAATGATTTTCTTTCTTTAATTAGGAAATTGAACATCAGCGAGGAGCCCTTATGAATGAAATCCAAGCTGCAAAAAACTCTTGGTTTAGCAAAACCCTGAACTCTATTAAAACAGCCACGGGCACGCAGCCACTGCAGCCACCACAGGCTCCCCAGCCACCCAAGGAGAGCACATAGTTCCACCTCACTCAAGCACAAGAGCACACTGATCAAAGCAGTGAAAACCTAGGATTCTTCCTGGGGTCCTTTGAAGGAGGCCAGAAAGCAAACCAGAATCTTCCAGTAGCTCTCTCTTCTATGACTCTTTTCAAAGGGATGTTATTTAAATTGACCTGATTTATGTTGAATACCTGTTTTCCAGCTTCTTCAGTGGAAGGCCATGTTCAGATCCATCATAGTATTGCACATTATTTTATATGCCTGATATTTAGTTGGAAATAACTAATTCAGACCTAAATGCTTTTTATTTAGAAGTAATAATTCCTAATTTTATCTTACATAAAAATGGAGATATCTGTTATTCTAAGGTTGAAAAGATAAGACCTGTGTCATGGAAAAAAATTTTTTTTGAAACTGAACTTTAAATTTCCAGCATTTTTTCAGACAAAGCACAGTGTGGGGCTGGTCATGACCACTGTCAGGTTTCATCCTGAAATTGATTCCCAGGGTAGCAACACTCCTGTCCCAAGGAAAAAACAGACAGGGACTAAAAAGTCCCCAAAGAAATTTTGGGTTATTTTCATTTTATGTCAGGTACGTCTAGAAACAAAGTGCCAAGAACTGTGGAATAGATGAGATACGGAGAATACATACTATGTAAACAGAACTGAGATTTTGATAAACACACAATAAAATCATTTTAGCTCTGGTATTCTAGCAGATCTTTTTAAGAACTCCGCATGGGACTTGCAAGTTCCTAGTATCCTGTGTATAAACACAGATCTGACTTCTGGAAAATGCAGAGTGAAAGGTGGGTACTGTGAGTTGCAGACCTGGAACCTGCTCCACAGAAGTCTGGCAAGGCCCAGGTTCAGCCATTGTGCTACAAGTGTGGAATACATGCTAGTGAACCAGTGACAAGTAATTTCAACTGATGTTGGCATACTTGCTAAGGAAACACTAATATTTTGTAACTTTGTTAAAAGATATAGTATTGAAATGGAAATTGAGGTCACCTTCGTATCATTTTAGTTTAATGTTAGGGAACTTTCCCTGATCTCTATAGCACCCTAAAAATATGCCCTTTACGCGTAGGTGAAGAGACACAAATGCATTTCTAACTATCTTTGAATTTAAAACCTGTATAGAACTACTTATCCCCATGAGAAAGTGAGGCTATTGTTTAAGAATTGGTGGAAATATTTTTTAAATTACATTTAACTTGCCTATAAAAATAGTCCTTGCAGGAAATTCTTTGGTAAGGGCAAAACTAACTTTCCCATTTATAAGCTGTTCTAAAGATATCTGGTCCTTTCCCACCAACCAAACTACTTTAGTTATTACAGTAGCACTTATTAATACTCATTCTTGGCTTATTGGTGAATGTATTGTTTGCAAAGGTTCTAAACTCTAGTGGCAGAATGGTTCTGTGTGCCGTAAGTTGCAATTATAACACACCCTTAAGAGTTAGGATCATTAAGAGCCTTTGTAACCCCAAGAGCATACACTACAAGTTGCTCATGATAGATCCTTTCCTCTAAATTATCTTTAAGTTCTAAAAAGTGAAATCCCTTTTATCTGTTTCTATAATGTCTACAGTCCATAAAACTGATAAGGTTTTTTTGGTATATGTGTTAGACTTTCAAAATACTTTTCTTACAGAAATCTTTTGTTATTGTTCTGATATTTTTCATCATAAATTCATTCCTTTTTACCAAATAGAAAAAATGCAGCATTCCAAGTATCTGTATTGTCTTTAACATTCCCTACATGGTGGTTTAGATCAGCTGATAATTTTTTTGTAATATATAATGGCTAGAAAATTATATTGTGACATTTGTTTCTATAAATCCTTTACTATAGTATGTTAACTTTACTGGTATTTTATGCTTTGACTTCAAGAAGCCTTGTAAAAATTGCCTTTTCAAATGGTGAGCGAAATTAAAAATACATTTTTTGTGTTGTGAACCTCATAGTACCACAAAGAGCCCCTTTTGATTTCTCAAATTCCACAAGATGCCTAGTTACATAATTTTCCTTAAATCATAGTTGAAGGAGAAATATAATGGCTCCAGGTCAAGTCCTTATCTATAGATTTGGTTCAGTTTATAGTCCCTTTTCTTTTTTTCTTTAAAGAAAACCACCAGGGGCATACATTCCAAAAGTTTGATATCTTTTGAGTTTTATTTTAACTTCTACAAAAGATTATAAGGGCAAAATGCAGTTTTTTTCTTTAACCCTGTATCATATTTATGTATATTGGTACCGTTAGTCTAAATTTTCCCTCACTGCAATGCCTTTGAGTCAGCAGCAGTAGTACAGATTGAAAATGAAAATGAAAATGTGGTATGTGATATGAATGTTCATACAGTATGTTGTAACAGCACTATTCCAAATGATATCCTCTGATGTCTACTGTTTGAAAACTCATGCATCCCAACACAAAGCAATTAACAGTGGCCCTTTGACTTACAAACTCAATCGTTCCTGAGGGCGGGTTGTAACTCAAGTTGGTTGTAAGTCAATACAGCTGAAATCTGGATGTCTACCTAGTTACTCACTATAGATAAGACTATACATAAGAGGCAGATGATTCTTCCATTAACCTAATTGTTCGTATATCAGGCCAGTCATAACTTGAGGGTCCACTGTACTAGTTTTAATTTTACTCATTTTGAGACATATTTGAGAATTGCAACTCTGCCCTTGAATTTCTTTTAGAAAGAGATCGATCAGCCAAATATCCAGATTTCCAAACATTCCAGTGATTCTCATCCTTTTCCTAGGATGTACACTATATAAAACATTCCTCCAAATATCCAATATTTGGATCACTTCTCTTTTCATTATATCCTGTAAAATAAAGTGAATACAATTCAGCTTTATTCAGTAATTCAGTTCATTAGCTTTTGTATCTTGAGAATCTTATTTAACACATTCTTTCAAAGCTGAAAGAAACCAAGCTGAATTTCACAGTACATATGTTTGCTAGCTTCCCACATCACAATTTGGTTATATTTAGGCACATATAATTTAATGCAAAGAAGTCCTCAGTTACCTAATGTAATGTATATGAATGGCTATCAGAAACATTAGTAGAAATGTCATACAGGCCAATGATCTATGTATCTATACAATGAAGATCTCTCTTCTCTCCTAGCTATTAATAATTTCTTCTTCATTGGGTTTCTTAAATTTTCTTGGTCAAGTACAAAACTAACCTTTGTACTGATGTTGGGATATTTAATAGTATTTATCTTGTTTCATTTTTAAAAAATGTTCATCCTTTCCTACTGTACATTAATATTTATTTTTCTCCAACCTCTACTCCATGTTCCTCAAGTATTTTCCAGTTAATAACTAGTGGCTTAATTTCATAGCTGAAATGAGGAAACCAAGACAATACAGAGGTACAGGCACAGGAGGTAAGAGTTAGATCCTTAAAGGAGTCAGTCACCTAGGATAAGAATCACATGCATGACTAATGTAAGGGACTGAGCTTTCCTTTACTGTAGCTGAAATCAAGTCTACTATCTCACCAACACTGTGTGTCAAACACTAAAGTGGTTGATTTTTAGTACTTCTGGTGGAGGTGTAAAAGAACTAAAAAATACCTTTTTTAAAAAAAATTTTCTGGGAAAGAACACAATTATTTAGCAAGATGACTGTGTTATATAATTTATCCTTACAAAAACATTCTACAATAGCTCTCTTATTCCATTACAAGTAAATGAAAGACTGAACAAATTCTGTTGTATGATTTGAGCACTTAAGTTTTTGTTTGTGTGTGTGGTATTTCATATAGCATATTCCTGTCTCTTTTGTATACTGATACCATGCAGCCAAATACACGTTGAGATGTCAAGACACAGTGATCAAAACCTGAAGGCTAGACCTCAGCTCTGCAGCCTGTGTTTCCAACTACCAGATATACGAGTAAAACTCTTAAGTCACCGTGCTTATGTCACATTGAGCTGGAACTATGTGATAACATTCTTTCTCTCTGAGAGTGACATCTATAAAATAAAGACAATGCTCTTTACCTTAAAAACTTCCTTACCACTCAAAATGTACAGAAACGATGACTTCATTGTGGACTGTACCTCAACAGGTGATGTCAATCTCGAGTTATAAGGAGAAAAGTAGATATTTATGGGATTTTAGTGATTACAGCCAGCTGTCTGGTGTATCAGGTTTCCATCTCAAAGACTATATGTCAAGCTTATCTTTAAATGAATTTGCTACCTGCTATTAAAAATATTTTCAATATATCCCATTCTCCCTATCTCCATCCTTGGTTTACCCTTCTGAAAAGTTTTAGAAAAATGAATCATTGAGAAGAAAATAAACATTTTAAGTTATTTTCTTTTTTCACTGGCAACTAGTTATTATAATGTAAAAAAATTTCCATAAGCTGTAACTAATAACTATATATTATATATGGAATAAAATAAAGGAAACTGAATCGTGAGATTATAAATGGCTCAAAAGACTCTGGTATCATGAAAGCACATGAATAAAGCTGGAGGTGGTCCCAGAATCCAAGATTGTCCCAATAGCCTTTTTCATCAGTTTCTCTATTTTTGGTATTTTGCATAATGCATGGATACTTAGTTCAAACAAGGGGAAAAGTTTCTCAGTCAACCCCACTTCCTTTCTTCCAACTCCTACCTTTCCCTTGCTGAGGAGGTAGTAGAAATTCTGTACTGTTTTTATGAAACTTATGATTCTGCCCACATCTTCTATAATTAAAAAAAGGTTACAGAGTAAAGGAGTTGATTAGTACAAGCAGTGCTAATTGACTAAAAAAGAAACAATAGCTATCACCTCTTCCTCTATAAACACCAATTACATGTTTCCATAATTCCATGTATTATGTATAGTACTCTATAAATGTAAATGTAATGCTTGTTAAGAAAAGTGCAATTTATTGTACAATGTCCCAACAAATGTTTACTTTTATCATTGTTATGAACTTGAATTGGATTAGTATCTTGTTTTTATGTGTGAATGAAGCCTTGTGAAATAAACAGATGCAACCAAGAAGGTAACAAGGTGACTTTTTGTGAGCCAGTGATGTTTTCAATGCTTTGTGTTGCCCCTTTGGCCCCATTAAGCAGTAATAAACATTTGTTCTGAAGTCCATATATGTCTCTGATTTTTTCAAGTTGACTTTATTCTGAATCATTTGAACTTAGTGTTTATATTAACACTTCTTATCTGATACAATGCGCCAGTCAATTTACAAAACATATAGAGGAGTTTTCTCCATAGTGTCCCTCCAAAATAGTGTCCTGTACAGCACCACTGCCAACTGCTCTATTGTTCTCTATTGAGGTCCCTTGGCTGCAGTTACTGTAATTAAGAGAAACTAGAGGTATCTGTACCATGGAACCCTAAGACCAAACAGCTGGACCTGATGAGGCACTGAGACCAGAGACTGAAATGCCAGAAACTAAAGCAACCATTTCCACTTTTACTCTTCTCCTTACCTTTTCAGATGATCCTTATCTGCTTCATTTTTCTCTTAGAAAACAAGCCTCCTCTGCTCTGTGCACAAATAACAAGTTTATAAGTCTTTACTTCAAATGACCAGCAGAGATCAGGGTAGCCATTTCAGTATCCCAAGTCCAGATTCTCACAGAATTCCAATTGGCTAATCGTGGGTCAGCTGGCTGCTGCTAGTCTTTCAAGGAACATCAAAGTGGGTAGTACTGTATTACATAATTCAAACAGAACTCCAGAGGCTTTCCTATAAATGGAGACAGTGTGCAGAGAACCCCAATGATGTCTATTCTGCATCTGCGCTACGTGCTGGGAGTACATGGAACCTAAGTGAAATCTAAGATTGTCCGGCTCTTAGAATTCAGAATCATTAAAAATATAAATCAGCTCATAAAATTTGTTTATAGTCAAATCCAAACTGCAGACCTCTTGTTTGGCCCATGTGGTATTTTAAACAATGAGAAATTTTATAGAAAAAGTAAAAATTACTCAGAAAATATCCATTGGTGGGAGGTCGTGAGTGGGTTTGACATGAATAATAACTAGGGGAGGCAAGAAGGCTGATTAAAATAGGATGAATGAATAAGAATTTTTCTTGGTTTTTTGAGACAGGGTCTCACTCTGTAGTTGAGACTGGCCCTGAATTCATGGTGAGCCTCCTGCCTACACCTGAGTGCTGGGACTACAGTCATCTGCCACTACACCGGCCAAGAATTTCATTTTGAAAGGAAAATTGTCTAAAACTTGGAAACAAGGCAAAAAGGTGAGTGAGTGACATGTCCCTTCAATGTCAAACCAAGAACAGGGGCCTCACTGTCCACTGCTGATTAAAGGTCCTATACTTCATCTGTGTATTAGAGATGTTTGTCCAGTAAGAATGTAAATCCCTAATTTTCAGTGGAACAGATAACTCCAAAGTTTATACTTTATTCCCCTGTAAGACATGAACCATTTGGTATCTAATCTTACAACTTTTACTGTACTAGCATTCCATTAAGTTGCCTATAAACCGTTGCCTGAAACAGTTTTAACATCTTAACTAATTTCCTCATCTGCTAATGAGGTAATTAAAATATGTATATATATTTGCATGAGAACTTTGATTTTATCTTTTTAAAAATAATACTTTAATTTTTATTATCAAAAGAAGAGCAAAATCTTTTAAAAGTTTACTTGCAAATAAATTTGGCAAGGAAATTCAGGCTTTAGAACTGGCTCAACCAAATAGAGATCACAAGTACAGTATTTAAATTTTAAAAATCACACAAAAATTTTAAAAATTTTAAAATTTTAAAATTTTAAAATCACACAAAAATTTTAAAAATCACAGCTTTTGATAGCTAGAATTGGTTCATGGTGGGAAAAAAGTAATCTTCACACTGTCATCACATTTTCAAACACCACTGCAAAAGTTAAAAATTTTGTTCCATTGATTTTAGGGAGTCTTTGTTTTTTGGTACTGGGGATGGAACTCGGATCCTTGTGCTAGCAAGGCAGGCAGCGGAACCACTGAGCTTTTATCCCTGGCCCTAGGGAGTCTTAATTTTACAGGAAAGACTCAGGCTTAAGTTTTCATTTATATAGGAGATTAGAACTAGACAATACCCCAGATGTGTACATGGTCATGGTGTCACATTTTATCTTTAGTGTTTTTATAGTTTTTATCACTAGTTTTATCTCAGGATGCAAGGTAGAGCTCTGTGGGTATTTCTTGACTTCTGGGATCCTTTGTAACCACTTACTCAGAATGGCAGCAAGTCAAGGAGTTAGTTTTGCTTCCGTATGGCAGATGTATGGACTGTTAAACAATAAAGCTAGAGAGAAGCCAAATTGAGTTTGTTTTTGATTTTGTTTTTTTTTGGTACCGGGGATTGAACTCGGGTCCTTGCGCTTGCAGCAGCGAAACCACTGAGCTAAATCCCTGGCCCAAGTTTGTTTTGTTGACTCATAAGAATGGAAGACTTGAACTGTTTTAAATGCTGGTAAAAAGAAAAAATGGGAGAGAATGAGGATAATCACCAGTCTTGTTTTGGGGAAACCAAAGCAGAAGTGTTGGAGTCTGGCAGGTTAAGTGTATTAGAATGACAAAGGGGCCAAGGAATGGTCCAGGCTAGAAAAGAGTAATAAAACTGACAATCATAAATCTACAGACAGTAGGGAATAAAATGGAGATGCCAAGGGACTACAGTACTATTGATGTCATAGAGAGCAAGACTGCTGGAAAAAGAAAACTACTTTTAGAGCGCAGACTTTAAGACTTTAGAAATGGGCGGTTCTGTGATATGTTAAGGTCTAATGCACAGTCATGGATGAAGACACTTGAGTTATAAAGTCAGAGCTAATATTTACAGCGTATAAATATATTTTAAGGAATTGTGCTGTGGCTTTATGTACCTTAACTTTAATTACCAAACACTGTTATTAGGTATTCTAGTCCCCATTCATACACAGAAACACAGGCTTCTGAGATTTTAAACTGTCCTAATACACAGCTAATCAGATGTAGAAACTGTATATAAAGTCAAGAATCTAATGCCTTTACTCAACTTCAAGGGCTTGTTCCCCAAACTTCCTTGAGAAGAATCATTTAGGGATGTGTTAAAAATAGATAATCTAGTCCATTAAATCCATTAAAACAATATCTACAGATCACCTACTGTGCCAATCTCTTCTAAGTGAGACTAAGTGAAAATGAGGTAAACAGCATCTGCCTCTGAGGAGCTTACACTCTAATACCGTTTCTCAACCTCAGCACTGTTGACATTTTGGGCCCCTTGACTCTTTTTTTGGGATGGGTGGGGAGCTGTCCTGTGCACTGTACAATATTTAGTAGTTTCCCTGGCTTCTACTTACTAAACACCAGTAGTATTAACCCAACTGTGACAACCAAGTATGTCTCCAGACATTGCCAAATGTATGGAGAGAGGAGTGAGCAAAATATCTACAATTCCACTCAACTGAGAACAGCTGCTGTAACAGGAAAATGATTAACCAGTTTCAGTGGTAAAAAGTATAAAGAAAAAGAGTGAGAATGAGGAGAAATGTTGAGGCTGGTGAGGCTGAAACTGGTACAATGACTTTTGATATGTACATTTGGCTGGTCTACACTCCTGTTATCAAACACTAAATTTTATCATGAATACATTTTGCACAAGTATTTAAAGCTCTAATCAGTTCATTTTGGGTAAGGGAGCTGTCTTGGATAATCCACATGGACCTGACTGAATCAATCTGGAGGTGTGAAAAGCATCACTGAGGTTTCCTGGAGAAGAATGGAGTTCCACTTAGTTCATGTTCTTCTCTCTCTGACTTATGGATAAAAGCTACCAGTTATGGGGCACAACCTGCCCATGATCTTCCATTCCTGCCTATCTAGCACAGAGTTTGGGCTTGCTTAGCCACTTCCCACAGCTATGTAAACCAATTCCTTATTCAATCCTGCTTCTCTGACTGATCTTTGACTAACATGGTCTTAACGATCCTCCCCAGTATCACTTTTAAGGGTGACTATACAATAAGGAAAGGATCTATGTGCTCTGTAAGAACATTCCAGGAAGAAAGGAAGCCTAGAGTACAGACTTGGAGATAAGAACAAACCCAGTGAGTTCAAGGAATAATAAAACTGTTGTTTTTTAAAAAGAAGAAAAAGGTAAGGAGGAAATGTGATAGCAGATGATAGCAATGTGGGATGTGAGAAGTGGTTTGATTCCCGACACATTTTGAAGGTTAAGCCAGCCAGGGTTGCTACAGGATAGGATATAGGAGCGGATACTGAAGACTCTTTGGCCTGAGCAATTAGGTGCATTCACCCAGAACAATGGAGTATTTCTTCCAATTCCATACTTATTTCCAGGCTATTGGTTGGACACTTTTTCTAAAAAAAAAAAAAAAAGAGCTACAACAAAATACAGGTTTTAGTTCATTCTATGAACTTTCATGTTCATGGGGAGGACCCACTATGCTATATGTACTGGTCTTCGGCTTGTGGGGTCAAGTAATCCTCCCACCTTGGAAAATAATCCTTCCTGGGCCTTAAGTATAATCTACAAAAGAGACTGCACAGATATAACTACAGCTCAGTAAAATCTCTATCAAAGTGCACACTCACCTATAACCAGTATCCACATCAAGAAACATTACCTTAGCTTCAAAAGCCCCCTGGTGGTACCTCCCTGTCATTGTCTTCCTCACTCCACCAGGAAAGACTTCATTTTTAATACATCAGCGTATAGGCTTGCTGGTTTAACTTCATTTAAATAGAATTGAACAATATGAACTCTTTTGTCTGGCTTCTTTCCCTTAACGTTACTGTGTGTATTGTGATCATCTGTATGTAGGGCACTTCCGATTTTTTACTGCGATAGTGGTCAGCCTGCATTTTTCTAGCAGCATTTTCCTTCTCTGACTTGCTGATTCTAATCGCTGATCTGTAGAGCTGAATGCTGGTTATTTAACCTCTCAAGTGCTACGTTTCAACTGTATTGTAAACGTCTTGGTGAGGCCAGAAACTAACTGAAAAATGGGGTTCTCTGCGCCTTAGAACTAGAGGAGCAGAACAGTTGCCGTCATACCAAATTCCTCATGGTCAACTGCATCACTTCTAACGAATCCAAATACGCGTGAGACCCACATACTCACAGAGAGGCCAATAAAAGTGGCGAAGGCACTGGAAAAGAAAGTTTTAACAGTGGAAGGGCAGCTCTAAATTGGGTCTCCAGGATAAGAAGCCTTTCGTCAGCGACTGTAACCCAGGCCATGCTACGACCCCTGTCACATGGCCAGAGGCGCTCACCTCCTTCCGTGACCCGTGGTGACGTCATCACGTCGGAAAGGCTAGACGCGTGATGTCTGCAGCACGTCAAAACTTACTGAGAAACTTATCTCCAGGAACATTCCACTATTAATTTGATCGTCCTTTCTCATTTTAACATAACTTGGTTGCTCTTTCTCTTTTTATTGTCGTTTCGTCTCGGGGCTGATAGACCACCCTTAGACAAGATGGCTGTCTGGTTAGACTGGTGTCGTAAAGGGAACGGACGCGGGGCGCACTCTTAGCTAACTTCCGGCTTACCCGCGGAAGCTTAACGTCATTTCCGGGGCCGGGTTAAAGTAGCGGTTCCGAGCTGCGACTGCGCAGCCGGGGCGTACAATTGCGGGCGGGGAGGAAGGAGCGTTGCTTTTCTCGAATTGCCCGGTACCCTCGCGAGAGTTAGGCGTTGCTCGGAGGCTGGACGGGCGGGCCGGGCCAAGCGGGGGGTGGGGGTGGGGGTGGCTGAGTGAAACAGGCGGCGCTGGGGTGGGCTGTGACGGCCTCGCGAACGTTCCAGAGCCGTGGCGTGCAAAGGGCGGGCCGCGATCTCGCGCAAGTCTGGTGTGCGCGCAGCTGCGGGTCCCGCGGCCTGCGCTGCTGTGGTCTACGCTCGCGGAGAGCGCGCTGGATCCTGTTCTTGCGTGCACGCCTGCTGCTCTGGCCTCCGGTCTGACCCAGCCCGGCCATGGCTTCAGCTTTGGAGGAGGTAAGGGGTTCGGCCCCGGCCCGCGGGCAAGAGGCGTGCGTCCCCCTGCGTTCCCGAGGCCCTTTCCTCTCGCGTCGAGCTGCGGCGAACAGGAAGCTGCCTAAGGGCTGGACGGGTGCGGAGGCTGAGCGCGTCCCTTGCGAGGTGTCCGGTGCCCGCCCAGGGGCTGTGTTGCGCTAGGCAGGTTCTTCTCTCTCCACCGCGGTGTCTGCTTCGCACAGTGGCTGTGTTAGGCGTTATTTCTAAACGTTTGAGCCAGTGCGTGGCCAACCGCAGCCTGCTATATGTGTATTTTTTAAAAGCAGTTGGAAAGTTGGTTGTTACTAATAGTGGGAAATTGAATGGTTCTTTTTTAAAACTTTTTTTGTAAACTCTTGAGGGTAGGTAACTTTTTTGGAGACTTGGCTTGCTCGGTGAAAAAATGGAAATAATAATGGCATTGCACTCTTCTTGGCCCATGTAGGATGACAAGTATGTGATACTGTAGTGTTAGTGTGGAGGGTCTGTTCAGATTTGTTTTGCAGAAAATGTCTCTCCATTTGAAGAACAAATACTGGAATAGCTTAGATTTCTCTAAGTTAAAGAAAAATCTACCGTAAGTGAAGAAAAATTGAGGGTTTGTGTTGAAGAATTAGTCTGGGTGTCTAGTTGGCGACCAGCCTTGGGTACCGAGTGCCCTCGAGAGTGTGGATTTACTACACGTGGGTAGCTCCTATTGATCTGTAAACATTCCGGGCCGCTTTCCTTTTGTTTTGAGGTAAAATTTATCTTTTTAACTATTTTAAAGTGTACGACTTGGTGGCTTTCAGTATTGTGCAACCATCACCAGGATATTTTCATCACCTCAAAATGTAAAAACTAGTTTTAAATCTCCTTTATACAGTTGTGTCCATTCACCTCTCCCGCTAGTCCTTGGCTATCAAGAAACCTTGTGGGCTGGGGATTTAGCTCAGTGGCTCCGACGCCTGCCTCGCAAGCGCAAGGACCCGAGTTTGATCCCCGGTACCAAAAGAAACCTCTTGTGTCTATGGATTTGCCTATTGTAAGTATGTCATGGAACCTGGTCCGTGTGGCATTTTGTTCTGGGGCCCTTTTCACTTAGTGTAATGCTTTCCAGTTTATCTGTATCAGCATTTATCAGTCATACACCATTCCTTTTTATGGCTGAATAATATTCCAGTGTACAAATCTAGCTTGTTTTGCTTATTTATCAGTTGGTGGGCATTTGAGTTCTTTCCTCTTTTTGACAGTTGGGAATGATGCTGTGAATATTTGTGTACAGGTCTTTTGAGGACATGTTTTCAGTTTTCTGGTGTATATACCTAGAAGTGGAATTGCTGGATCATAGGGTAACTGCTAAATTGTTTCCAAAATGGTTGTACCATTTTACTTTTCCACAAGAAATGTTATGAAGGGTCCATTTTCTGGGGCTTTTTTGGTTTTGTGTTTATTATTCCATTGTGGTAGATGTGAAGTGGTGTCCCATGGATTTGGTGTTTTCCCAAGACCAGACATGTTGGACATCGTTCTTGTGCTTGGTTTCCATTGGTACATCTGCAGCAAAGTCCGTTCAAGTGCTTTGCCCACTTGGGCTGCAATTTGGTTTTTTGGGGTTTTTTTGTAATTTTCTTTTCAATTATTTTTATTAGTACGTGTTTACAGTAGTTAATGATTACATTCCTCCTGGGGAATTGGTGCATGATGATTACATTCCTCCTGGGGAATTGGTGCTTGTATATAACACCTCTTAATTATGTTTTCATCCCCTTCCCCTCTCCCTCCTCCCCATTCCTTTCATCTCTTGGCTCTTTTTCCTTTTGCAAGAGGTTTCTATCTCCCTATTTTCTTTTTTGTTTTTTTATTTTGCTCTTTATATTCTGGGTTTCTCAGATAAGAGAAGACATGTGATGTTTAAGTTTGTGTGTCTGATTTATTTCACTTAATGTTATTGTCTCAAGGTGCATCCATTTTCCTACAAATGATTAAAGTTTATCCTTCTTTATGCCACAATTTGGTTTTAAGGGCCCTCATGAATAATTAAGGAGGTTAAGAGATAAAGGAATAGGAATAAAAGGCGGATCTTTTCATATATGAAACAAATGCTTGCCCAGAGAGCTAGAAAGGTGGCATACTAATTAGATCAGAAAGTACCCTACCTAGGATAACTTTAGAGTATGGGACTGATGGGATCGTCATTGCTCTTTTCAAGTCTGCAGGTACAACTTAGAAGTTGCTTTCGTGTGTATCTTATTTGTTTTTGTTAAACCCCTGCTCAGGGAACAAATACACTCATTATACATTGGTATTTTTATGACTTTATTAGAATTAGCATGAATTTTTGAAACCATTATAATAAAAAGATTATTTTGAACATAAACATTTTGATTCTAGCTTCAAAAGATTTGGGGAGGTCTATGTGAGATGAGGTTTTTTTGGAGGGGAGATTGTGGATAGGCACTGGGTACAACTGGATTTTTTTTGTACTGTATTAATCTGTTACAGATTAGCAAGATGGGGCATCTGAATTAAATGATATAATAAAAGATGGAGTAAAGGAAAACTATTATGTTTGTTACTGCATTAGGTTAATAAAAAACAGGCTTTAAATTCTGTTGTTTTCTGACACTATAAACTTAGCATTTAAAGAGTTTTTTAATGCTCTGGGGGTTGAACAGCTCGCCCTTCATTCTGAGCTACACTCACCTGCCTCCCCCACCCTTTTATTTAACTTTTGAAGACAGGTTTTTACTAAGTTGCTGAATTGTGCCGGGTGGGTTTGAATTTGCACTCCTGCCTCAGCCTCACAGAGTGCTGGGAATACAGACGTGTGCCACCATGCCCAGCTTGAAGATCTTATCTCAAGCCTTTTAATTTTAAGTCACGTTGCTAGTATCAAGCAAATCAATGTTTTGGGCAGAAAGTAGGAAGGACTTATAGGTTATGTATTAAGTGATATGTGAGAAGAACTCAGTCTTCAATTAGTTTTCAAGAGTTCATTGCATTTTGGATCATTTGGAGTTTCCCTTCTGTGCAACCAAACCCAGACTTTGACCATAAAGACTGACTTAAGTGCCGAACAAGATGTTTTCTTAAAAGCAGAATTTTTTTCTTTATCTATAGTTCAAACTTTTTTTTTTTTTTTTTTTGGTACCCGGGATTGAACTCAGGCCCCTGTGCTTGCGCAGCAGGGGGCGAAACCACTGAGCTAAATCCCTGGCCCTAGTTCAAACTTTTTATGTGAGGTATGTGGATAGAATGATCAATTAGGACCAGTCACTAAAAGAAAGTAGGGCCGGGGGTTTGGCTCAGTGATTTCGTCGCCTGCTGTGCAAGCGCAAGGGCCCGAGTTCAATCCCCGGTACCAAAAAAAAAGAAAGAAAGAAAGTAGAGTACTCCTTACCTCAGCCAGGTAGCTGTAGCACTTGACCAGTCAGTATGGATTCTCTTTTAATAGTAAAAAGTTTCTGGGCTGGGGATGTAGCTCAGCGGTGCAGCGCCTGCCTGGCAAGCACGAGACCCTGAGTTTGATTCCCAGTACCAACAAAGAAAAAAAATAGTAAAATGTTTCTAACATCTTAGGATTCTAGACTGAATGTTACAAGGAACTCTGAACCCTCCTTAAAAAAGATTTGTGTTTTTTTCTTATAAATTGCCCAAGTTTCTTGTAAATAAAATGTTCTAAATAAATTAAACTGGAAAATTCAAAGTGGATTGATTACCTGTCATTGATTCAAGATTGTTTTCCTTTAAAAAAAAAACAAAAAACGGCAGGCTTGATTATTTAAAATCCAGTAAGTTAGTGGAAAAGACTGAAGTTGCAATTCAATCCTGGAAAATATTGATGAACTTACTAATTTTTAGTTCTTATTTCAGTGAGTTGAAATGAGAAGTCTTAACCATAGCTAACTTACCTTCTATTTTAACACAGTTGCAGAATGATCTAGAAGAGGTAAAGGTGTTGTTGGAAAAGGCCACTAGGAAGAGAGTACGAGATGCCCTGACAGCAGAAAAATCCAAGATTGAAACAGAAATAAAGAATAAGGTGCAACAAAAATCACAAAAGAAACCAGAATTTCTTGACAATGAAAAGCCAGCTGCTCTGGTTGCTCCCACCACAACAGGATATACTGTGAAAATCAGTAATTACGGTATGACTTCCCCCACATCCAGTTCTCCGTGGAGCAGAGTGCACCCTCCCAGGTTGCTGATACATACTTTTGGGTGGCTTATGCTTTTTATGTTGACAGAGTTCATCCAGATTAGACCACAGGTTGACAGTACATACTGAAATGGTATTTATTGGATGTTAGTTGGTTAGATAAACAAGTTTGGAAGAATTGGGAGTCTTTTAAGCTTGTTTTACCTTGTCCTGGAGAGGAATTGAGGAAACTAGAATTGCATGTAGACTGCTTAGAGAAGTGGAAATTATAGAAGTAGACAGTATTGATGTTTAGCCATCCAGCTTAGAGGAGAATTATCAATATTTAGGTGTAGGTCAAAATTATTTCCCCAAAAGACTAAATGAGTTAATATTTTGTTGTTATTTTGAGGCAGAATCTCACTATATAGGTCAGAGTGGCCTTGAACTTTAACTAGTACCCCAGGCTGGCCTCAAACCAGTGGCGATCTTCCTGCCTCAGCCTCCCAAGTGCTAGAAGCACGCCCCTTGAGCTAATCTTAAAGAATAGAACAATCACAATTTTATTCTAAGGAATAAAAAGAACCTAGGCTTTGTTTTAAAAATTGGAATTTGAAACTAAGTTCTGCTACCAGTTACATGCCTCACTTCAAGTACTTAATTGTTTTGAGGATCAGTTTCTTCATCTAAAAAGTTTATACAGACTCTGCTCATTTAATGACCGAGTTGAGGTCCTATGTTAAATGAATTGGCTGCTAAATGAGGAATTGTACATAGTATACACATTACACTTTCAGAACAAAGAAATGGTCAGAGCAAACTCCCAACTTGATGACTAAATGCAGAACTGTAATGTACAGTGGCACCTCAGTTCACAAACTTAATCCTTTCCACAATTTTGGTTCGATTTTGGATGAGGCGCGAAGCAGATTTCCCAAAAGGTCAACATTGAGCCTAACCATTGAATTTGATTTGATTCTTGTCCCATTCAATTTGAAACCAGAATCGTGGAAAGAATTAAGTTTGTGAACCAAGGTACAACAAGGTATAACAACATAAAAACTGCAGTACTATACTATGTAGTACTATCAGCAAAAATTATATATTACTGTATAAACAAGGTGTGGTATACAAAAAAAGACATTAAGGATCTGTAAACAAGATGTATAGAACTGTACAAAAAAGGTGTCCTAACAGTCATTAAACAAAGAATATCTGTAGTTTTGGTTTCTATTTCATTGCTGAGTTTTATTATGAACCACATGCATTTTGCTGTTCTAGACACAGTTTGAGAGACTTGTGACCCATCTTGTGCTTCTTGTTGGTAGGATGGGATCAGTCAGATAAGTTTGTGAAAATCTACATTACCTTAACTGGAGTTCATCAAGTTCCTGCTGAGAATGTGCAGGTGCATTTCACAGAGAGGTGAGTTTTCCTCATAATGGGAAAGAATGATGATAAAGAATCAGCCTTGTCATAGGATTCTTTTCTGTATAGTTTCTAAAATTCTACTCAAATTTAGGATTATGTTTTATATCTGCTTTGAAGGGATGTGGAAATCATATGGCATAGTCAAATGTACATGGTGGCTTTTTTTTTTTTTTTAACGAGAATTGTAAAGATAATGCGTTCACCATTGTTTTTAGGTCATTTGATCTTTTGGTAAAGAATCTAAATGGGAAGAGTTACTCTATGACTGTGAACAATCTCTTAAAACCCATCTCAGTGGAAGGCAGTTCAAAAAAAGTGAGTATGATTGATTGATTGATTTTTTTAGAGTCATAATTTTTGATCCCTCATTAAATTGAACCTGGCAGATTTAGCATTGAGATAACTAGATAATTAGTTTATCCACTATACTAGGGTACCAGCAAACTGCTGCCCACTGCTTGTTTTGTAACTAAGGCATTACGGGAACATAGCCATTCTTTGTATATTGGTTGTGGCTGCTTTTGTACTGCACCAGCAGAGTTAAGTAGCTACAACAGAACCACGAGGCCCACAATAGAGAATATTTACTATCTAGCTCTTCACAGTAAATATTTGCCAGCTCATGTTGTGGAATAGATTGTTATAAGACTATTGCATTAAGTAAGGGGGATATAAAGTCCCTAAATTAATGGTAGCTGTTATCAGAGATGTTGTACATAAGGTTTTGATACATAAAAGAGAGTCCTAAGTACTAAACCTAATTGTAGTAGAAGCTATAAAAATACTAGAAGTTTTTTTTTTTTTTAAACTTATCCAGCTTTTCACAGGTGACACAGTTCTTTTCTATTCAGTTTGAATAAATGAGGCTTAGTGCATTGGATATATAAATATTCTGTGTTATCTATAACAGCTTAAAAGTAATATTAAAATACAGTGTAGTGATTAGTTTATATCACACTGAGGCCTTCTTCTACCAGTCTCACCGATGACGGAATACTCAGAAGACTCCTAGGAGTTACATTGATCATTGTTGAAAGAATTGTGTTACTCCTTCCTTTCTCACCCTCCAAATACTTTACCCTGTATCATTCTTTCCTTTAATCACTAAAATTCAGCCACCTTTTCTTCAAACACACCAAGCTCATCTCATCTTGGAGCCATTCTACTTGCTCTGCAACTGCTGGATCTTAGGTTTCCATTCATACTTTGTCTCAGAAAAGCCTTCCTAATGAAGTTCTCACCCACCACTCCCCCCATTAACACTCTGTCTTGATTACAGTTAGTATTTTTTTGTTTTGTTTTTTGTTGTTGTTTCTGGGGGAGAGTTGCACTTACCAGTTTTTGAAGATGTTCAGATTTTACTTACTTATGGACTTGGCCCTCAATGAATTTTCAGATTCTAGCCTATTCATAAAAGTATTACTAGCCAGGGTTAGTAATGGCACCATACCTGCCTGGCAAGTGCAAGGACCTGAGTTCGATCCCCGGTATCGGGGAAAAATAAATAAAAGTAGTACTAGCACATAGAATAAGTCCTACACATGTTAGGTACTTCACTGAGAAAATAATGGTTCTCTAAATAATCATCCTTGTACTTTTCCCACTTTTCTTGTAGATCAAGACTGATACAGTTCTTATCTTATGTAGAAAGAAAGCAGAAAACACGCGATGGGAATACTTGACTCAGGTTGAAAAAGAATGCAAAGAAAAAGAGTGAGTCTGCTTCTCATTTCTTTAAGGATTTTAACCATATTCTTGGCTGGGATTGTAGTTTGACTGTGGATAATAGAGTGAGCTTTAGTTTGATTTGACCATTTATCTCTTGGTGTTCACTAACTTCATTGTCTTAATCTCTTTTCAACCCTCAGAGCCTTTTTGACAAGGACATGTGCCTGGCAGGTTGGTTTTTAAGAAGGTTTTGTACTTGCCATTAGCTCCTTAGTACTGGTTCTTACTCCTGGACATAGAGGAGTGTCTGCATTCATTGGGTCTGTTCCAGTACTTTGTTCCAGGGGCTCCAGAAAGGCTCAGATGTCCATGTTGTGTTTTTATACCTCAGATTTTTTTTTTTTACTGGACAGCTTTCCCACTGCTGGGACAAAATACTGACATCTGCAACTTAACCACTCACCAGTCCAATTATTTAGATACAAGATGACCAAAAATTGCCTCCTTTTTGGTTAATTTTTATAAGAGAATAGGAAATATAAAATGACAATTTTATCAAATTTATTCAGTAATTTTTGTGTATAGTATATATTAAAACATTCAATGCATAATGCAATCTGTGCAGTAGTATCTACAGTCTTTCTGAATTCTTTTTCCATTATTGTCTTTCTTTGAACAACACATTACACTGTTGTGTTGGCCTTTCCTTGTTTTTTTGTGGGTGATCTAATTTCAATAAAATGTCAACCCTCTAAACCTAATGGTGAAAACGTCGATGATGGATGTCCTGGTTGGTGTTTTGCTACCCTGTATTTTTCATTATTTGGTCTATTAGACCCAATCTAAATTGTAAATGATTTTTTGAACCCCCTTGTTTTGAATAAATAACAAACGAGTTCCATATTGTTTGGTCCAGAAGGTGCATAAATACTTTATAATAATATTTTTTTCCTTGCTTTTAGATTACAGGATGGCTTGTTAAATGTTGGTTAACTGTCAGTACTACCCATAGAATTGTTATAATTGACCACTATTGGGATCTTTTTAGTTTCATTTCTTCTTTCAAGTTCCATCATTTCTGTATTATGAATAGTTGACAATAAGGAGATGTCTTATTTGTCTTTCTGTTTCATAACACAGACTTTTTCTCTCTGATACACTAACATTTCTCCTTTTTCAGTTTTTTCTTTTGCAGATTTTTTGGCACTTCCTTCCTACTCAGTGTCGTTGTCCCAAATGTGTCCCTATGGTATTGTAAATGAGTATCATTGAGTTCTGAAGTATCAAAGTTATATCTAATATAAGAGTTTTTATAGATTATAGCACAATATTATAGGATATTGTTCACAAATAAAATATGAAAACAACCAGAACTTACTAGAAACAAACATCAAAGGTGAATTCAGCATTTTAAATTTTAAAAATGCAATAACGTCAATATAAATCAAATAAACAGATGTACAAGTGTATCTCGTGCAAACAAGAATCAACTGGTTGAAATGATGCCTGCCCAAGCCATGCTTGGGATAGTCAGTACATAAATAAATACACTGCCCAAGTGACACTCAGGGTAAACTGGAGTGGTTAAAAGCGGAAGGGTTATTTTGGCTCACAGTTTCAGTCCATGGTCAGCTGGCTTCAAGGCAGGACATCGTCACTGAAGGGTGTGGTGGAGCAAAGCAGCTTAGCTCCTGGTGGCCAGGAAGTAGAACAGGTTAGGAAGAGCCAAAGAAGGAGACATAGTCTCCAAAGGGACATCTCCATTGACCTACTAACGCCACCTGGCCTGCACCTGACAGCACATTTAGTTATGAACTCCTCAGTGCATTAATCTACCTTTTGAAAGCTCCATCTCTGAACACACGAGACTTTTGGGGTACATTTCTGATATAATTTTTATTATCATTGGTTTAGAATGAAAAATATAAGAATATTTTTATCCTTAATAATGACTTTAAAAAACTCATGAAAAGATACTTCAGCCAGGCATGGTGGTGCACACCTGTAATTCCAGCACTTGGGGGGTTGAGGCAGGAGGATTGCCATGAGTTTGAGGCCAGCCTGGACTACATAGTGAGTTCAAGGCCAGCCTGAACTATACAGTGAGACCTCTCAAAACAGACAAAAAAAGATACTTCTATTATCTTGTCAGTTGTTCTGTTTTAGATTTCTTCTTCTTCAGTAGTAATGTACTATATTAAATCATATAGCTGTCCACATTTCTTTCTCACCCCTTGCTAGCCAGCATGCATTGGAGATGTGGTTGGTTAGAGTTAGGCTTATCAGACTGTGAGATTGATTTTAAGTCTAGACAGAAATGCCTGAGTAGAGGGTGCCCCTTTATGAACTGAATAATATTATTGAATAATTATGAATTGAATGAATGGTTAATTGGCTCCATCTAAGCCACCAGGCTTAACCACCAGGCTCAGATCCATGTATCTCAGGCTTAAGAGACAGGCTTTTCTAATTGAAGATGTGTGAGTCTCAGTATGTGTCCATGTGTAATGTGTTTGTGGTTTTTCCCTTAAACATTTTTTTTTTTTGGTACCGGGGATCGAACTTGGGTCCTTGCGCTTGCGCAGCAGGTGGCTTAAACATTTTTAATGTGAATGAAACCTGGTTTTAAAAATTAAAAATAAGCCAGAAAAGTAAATACTTAGTTTTTCTGCTTAAAAAAAACACTTGAAATGCCAGCATCCCATGGTAATGCCTTCCATTTTGATGACCACTCTTCCTGCTCTGTGTACAAGTTTTGTACATGTGTATTATTAAGATGAATTTCTGTGTACTCTACTGATTGTGAATATTTTGTAGGAGGTTTTTTTTGTTGTTGTTACCGGGGATCGAACTCGGGTCCTTGCTCTTGCAAGGCAGGTGGCAAAACCACTGAGCTAAATCCCCGGCCCCTGATTGTGAATATTTTGATTGGATAATCTGGCTTCCTCTTATCTCTGCCTCTCTGTTACCAACCTGAAATTGTATGGTTCCATGTGTTGACTTTTCCATTTTGTGTTTTCTTTTTAACAGAAAGCCATCCTATGATGCTGAAACAGATCCTAGTGAGGGATTAATGAATGTTCTAAAGAAAATTTATGAAGATGGAGATGATGATATGAAGCGAACCATTAATAAAGCCTGGGTGGAATCAAGAGAGAAGCAAGCCAAAGGAGACACAGAATTTTGAGACTTTTAAGTCCTTTGGAGAACTATTATGTGGAAATACTGCTATTTCCAATAACGGAATGTTGGTGAGCTGCACATTTAAATTTGGAAGATAACTGCAAAGCCTTCAAAGTAAAGGCAATGAATTTTCCATTTCTTATTGGAGGATTTATTTAAATAAGATATGCATATTAAACATTTCCTCCAAAGATGGTTTCATTATACCCTGGTCATTTTGTTTAAGGAAGGGTTATATGTTATTCTCATTGAAATACAAACACCAAGTCTTAGGGCTGGGGATTTAGCTCAGTGTTTCCGCTGCCTGCCTTGCAAGCACAAGGACCCGAGTTCAATCCCTGGTACAAAAAAAAAACCAAAAAAACAACCAAGTCTTGTCTAAAAACATTATGTGTGTTTTTGTTCAGCTAGGAGGTAGAAAACAAAAGTATTTGCTTGCCTGCAAGTTACAGATGTCAGCTCCCACTTAATGTATGAATAAGAGTAAAACTGAATTTTTGTATAAAATTCAAATTTGTGCCTGTGCTTCAAATTTGCTGTAGAATGGATGATCCCTTATTACCAGCTTGAGCAGTACATATAGCAGGGATTACCATGCACTAATAAGCCAGTCACAAATGTTTCTCTCTAGATTTAAATATATTTGTTTATGAATATAGAATTAAGAATAGACAAGCATCTTCATATAGTAGCAGTTAGTACTACCATGGGTCAGATACTAATAACCATAAAGCAAAAATAATTTGAAAATCCATCTATTCCTGTGTTCAATAAAGTTGGATTTTTATGTAACAAAATAGTTTTTACTATGTGTTTGTCCAGAAGTATGTCACACAGAAAAGTTAGGTTTTCTTAAAATCAAAAGGCAGAGGAAGGTACCCCGTCATCTTCATCAACGCATTGTAATGGAGATAATCGCCAGTACAGTTAAGAGAAAGCAGTTGGATACAAAGAGGGAAAATCAAGTGTATCAACCAAAACTACAATTAGTAAGAATTTGGTAAAAGCGTTAGAATTTAAAATTAACAAAAACAGCCTGTATTTAGGATAACTTTTAGTAAATACTGAAACACATTATAGTGCTTAATTATGATATTGGCACATGAATAAAAAGGCCAGAATAAACAATGTATATGGAAGTTTTAGAGTATAGTAAATGGCTCTTCAAAAACAGTAGAGGAAAAATTGGTTTTAATGAGACTGACACAATTAAAAATAGCCACGTGGATTACATTCTGTAAGCATCAAAAGATCTAAATGTAAAAATGAAAGTATGCAAGTACTAAACAACATGGAATTTCACTGCAGCCAAAGATAAGGGGGAAATCTTGAAATTTATATTTCAAGACTTGAAATCTATATTTGAAGACTTGAAATCTAAGAGGAATAAAACTAAATCTTGATAATATTAGCTACATATTTACATGGCAAGAAACAAACCTACCATGACCACAACACGTTGAGTGATTCCAGCAATTATGACTATTTTAGAGAAAAAGGTAAATAACTTTTAATACATAAAGAAGTGCTCACCTTGTTCAAGAAAAGAAATACTAAGAAACCACACTATTTCTTCTCACTGGAAAAACTCGTTTCATACACTGATTGTATTGAGTGTTGAGGCTATGGAAAAAGACATGGGAATGAAAGGAAAAGGTCATGTGGAAGGTTATTTGGTAGCATCTGTCATAATTATACCTGTGTCTTACTTTCTCATTGCTGGGACATAATACCCAAACGATTGGAAAGTGGAAGGGTTTATTTTCGCTCACGGTTTGTAGAGGCTTCAGTCCATACTTGGCTGGCTCCAAGGCCGGCAGCATGGCACAGTAGAAAGAGCTCATAGCATGGCAGGCAGGAAGCAGAAAGGCATTAAGGGAGGAATGAGGGATACACCTAGGCCGAGTCCCCAGTGACCCACCTCCAACTAGGCTTTACCCAACATCACACCCAGCTGTAAACCCATCAGTGGACTAATCCAATGATGACTATCACACCTATGATCCAGCTACCTCCAGAAAGCCCTACCTATGAGCACATGAGGCTTTGGGGGAACCTGTAGATATAAACCATAACAATATGTATTTATCCTCTGGCTCAAAGTTTCTAGGATCTTTACAAAAATGACAAGAATTTGCATATGTGCAGAAGATTGAAACTCGGGATTAGTGGATATATTAATGGTACATCCATACGAGGGAGTACTTAACAGTCAATGATTTCTCTACACTGATAACTATCAGGATAGAGCTAAGTGGAAAAACAATGCAAAACACTACCTTTGTGTAAGGAAGGGTTAGAAATGTGAACACACCCATATCTTTGCTTATGTTTCAGAAATAAACGAATGGTAAACCCAAAACAAATTATTACCCATCGGGGAAGAAGGTAGAGGGAGATGAGTGTATTTCTGTGAATGTACCTTTTCCTATTTTGACTTCAGAATCATAAAATTTAACAATTGAAAAAGGTGGAAACAAACTCAAACCTAACTCACTTTCTTGGTCTATTCCTGCTGCTATAACAAAATACCTTATACTAGATATAATTTCTAAACGAGAGAAGCATTTCTCAGTGTTGGAGACTAGAAAGTCCAAGATCAAAGTGCTAGTGTTATTTGGTTTTTGATAAGGCTTGCTTTCTGCTTCCAACGTGGTACTTTCTAGCTAATGCAGAAAAGTGGACTCAAAAAACCACTATTGGAACCCTTAATGAAATGACAGATCCAGGGTAACGATCATCAATGAAATGCATAAACCACAAGGGAAGAGTAATTAATGGTGAACTTTAAATGGAAGGATCAAGCTGATTACCTGAACTCACTGATCAATCTAAGCATCATTAGAAGTTGGACAGCCAGAAATATGCTTTCTTACATGGACAGTACATAACACCACCAATGAAAAACAGCCTGGATCTAGTCCAGCCTCTAGATGTAACTAATAGTTTACAGGAAACTTGGGAGACAAGAATAAAGGACGTAAAGAAGCAAATGGCCAAAAATGTTGCACATTCTATAGGACAACTTGGTTTCTCCAACAAATGAAAGAAAAAAGGAGGGTAAGAAAGGCCCTTAATCAGAAAGGATTGTTGAGAAATGGCAGCTGAATGAAATGCATTGATTGTGCTTGAGAATCAAATGACTCAAAAAGTTGGGGAGGGGATGGGATATTCTATCAATTACATGCCAGCAATCAACAAATTTATTCTACTTATGATTTAATACTAGTTATAATTTGAGATATAAAAGAGGCTATCAGTTGGTGAACTGCCGTATGAATTTAGGAAATACAAATCCAGGGTATATCATGATAATTCCCTATCTCCTCCTGAATTCCAGACTGCTATTCAGTTGCAGATTTCTCCCCTAGGCATCCCAAACATTGCATGACTGAAACTTCTGCTCCCACCTTGTTTCTCCTGAATCTATTGTATTTTTTATCTTGGAATTGCCCTCTGCCATCTCATCTACCTTAGCAGGAACCCAGAAAGCCAACATTACCTCTTAAATTATTAGTCCTTGTAAGCCTTAATTTTCTAAAAGATACTTTTAGCTAGCTGTGAGAGTGTTCTGTAATCCCAGCACTCAAGAGGCTGAGGCAGGGGGGTCACCATGAGTTTTAAGGCCGGCCTGAACTACAGAGACCCTGTCTCAAAAACATACAAAAAACCAAAATGTCCTGAGGACAGTCTGTCCTCTTCTTTGCTACCATTCACCACCTTAGTTCAGGCTCTAGATTACCAATTCAGACATCCTAAACAGGTTGTCTTGTCTGTAGCCTTTGCCTTTCATGACCACCTACCACACAGCTATCAGTGATCTGTAGAAAAAACTGATGTCTTTGAGAAGAGGTTGAGACATGGTCTAGCTATGCAGTTCAGGCTGACCTTGAACTCACTATGTATCCCAGGATGGCCTCGAGGGGATCCTTTTGCCTTGGCCTCCTGAGTGCTGGTTTTACAAGTGTGGGCCACCATGCCTGGCTTAATGTCATTTAAAACTCTCCAGTACCTGGTATTGGATATGTGAAATGATCTGTAAATATGGCTCTTCTTGTCTTTCAGTTCATATTTCTCTGGAAGTATAGTGTTTCATTGTGTAACCCATTCATTTTTCCTTATGCTTTGCTCCTACTGCAAGGACTCATCTGTCACCCAATTTAAGTTCAGGTGTCATCTCTGTGAATATTTTCCTGATTCTAAGTACATTCTTCCATACTACTATGTATATTTTTCATCACTGGGCTGACCATACTGTTGAGTTACTGCACAAGTCAACCTTTGCTACCCTTACTTGTTTGTTACAGTGTATAAATAAACAGGAGTATAGGGGATATATACTATTTCAAGACAATTTTTTTCCTCTTTGTATAGATTTTCAGGGACTTAGAGGCATATTTTGTAATAGAGGCCTTTAGATGCATCAGAAAAAGTGGTTCTTTTTTTTCAGCTTTAACTTCAATCTATTATTTCTCTAACAATAAATTAATAGTAAGATAAACTGTGCAGGTCAGGGAAGCCAAAACAGGATTACAAAATGCCATAGATCAATGACCTGTCAGTTAACTGGGTTATCTGTAAGAAAATACTGTTTTATGAAGTAACATTGTTTTAAAAAATACAAAAACCCTTAAGGAAAAGGAAATCATACTGCATTTTAAAACAACATATTTTTTATTCTATATTTTCCTCCGTGTGGGAACAGTATGACTATTAAATCAAAAAGGTAATTCATTGACAAGGAAACATCCAAATTTCATTTAAAATTTAAAAGTACTTTAATTATAGACAGCATTAGGTAGACAAGTACATTGTACCCCTATAAAAAAGGGTTTTGTTTATTGAAAAGTCTTGCAGGGACTGGTTTCCCTGAAAGCTCAGTGGGTTCTGGAGCTGATTTACCACATTGCTCGCTGGACCCCAGAAAGCTGGCCGTGGTCCGCTAAGTGACGGAAGACAATACGACTAAGCCTCCAGCGCCGCTTCACCCCACGTGGACGGGACGTCATAACACAACGATTTCTGATTCTAACAGGACAGCTATCCCGAGGAAGGGCAGCAATTTCTTCATCAGCCACTTCCTAAGGGAAATCACAAAGGTCCATTATCTGCAGCCGAGGCCACACCTGAGGCTTCTTTCAGTCACTAATGCTCTCGCTAACACCTAATATCATCACTAACACCTCACAGTGCCTCCCAATGCCTTGAGACGAAGGACAGACATGAAATGCAGGGGAAACTGTGGGTCAAAATAATACCCCATTTACTGTGTGGTTATCACTCATCAGTACTTTCTTGGGATTAGATAATGAAATGCTTAAGAGTGAATAGGCATCTTCAGTCTGAAACTTAAGGAAGTCAGTTTAAAGGCTATTTGTGTATGTTGACTTGGAGTATTTGATCTTACTCTTCAGAGATTGTATGGTACCAAGTCACCACAAACAGTATCAAAAAGTGATGTGATGTGAGTTAAAGATTTGTAGAAAGGAACTCATTAGCTAACCTGAAGATCTCTTGGCAAAATGGTATTCTTCCTGAGCGAATTGATCCGAAGCCTCTCATCTGCATATTCATAGGCCATTTTTCGTCTCTTCACATCACGTAACATTCTCCAGTCTACATAGTAACCTCGAACTTGGCCTGAAGCTGAGGAAGGAACTACCTAAAAGAGAGGCAAGGAACGCGTGAAGGATAAGGACAGTCAGCCTAGGTTCTGTGAGTGGTCCTCAGTCCTGGAGTCTTCCAATTACTGTAACTTCATATTTCTTTCACAGTTGTTCTGGGGTACTTTAGTGACTCAAAATAACACGACTTACTATTTCAAATAACTTTTATGAACATACATTAAGTCAGAGTGGTAATAATTAACATAAGGCCACTAACGTGTTGGAAAATAGGCAAATTTTTAGAAATTTTTGTAACTGTTTGACTTTTCCTTAGGCTAATATAAAAAAAGTAAAAACATATAGTGAAGTCTCCCTCTCACCTCATTCCTCACTTGCCCTGTGATACTCACCTGCCATAAATATCCAGTTACTAGTTTCTTATACATCCTTCCAGAGATTTTTGTCTCTACAAACACATGTATACTTTCCTCCTCCTGTTTTCAGCCCCCTCTTTTCACTTAACAAAATATCTGAGGGATATTTTCATATCTGTATGTAAAAAACTTACTCATTTTCTTTGAATTGCATATTTCACTGAATAGATGCATCGTAATTTAACCTGTAACCTATTGGTGGACAGTCAGACTATGCAACATACCTCACCATTTATCATCATGAATAATGCTACAATTGAATAACATAAATCATCTCAGGATATATCTGCAAGATAAGTTATTAAAAGAATTTTATGGTCAAAGGGCACTTAGAAATTATCACTGATAATTAACACTATTAACACTAGCTGTTTGCTAACAATTTTTAGTTCTAACCTACAAAACAGGCAAAAGGGGTATCAACTGCTAGAAACTTAAGTCTCTTTCAAACCAGAGGAAATACTACATGTCAACTAAATTATAACTATAGTAAATAACGATGGCTTCCTATAGCTGTTTATAGAATACATAAACATACAGAAAAATATAAAACTGAGAATAATAGGGGAGCCAACGTTTTTTCAAGTCTATTAACAAACAAGAGAAACTAGGCCCCTTCCATACTTTTATTATTAGACAAAAGCCCCAGGGGAAAATACAATGCTTCTAGAATAACCTTTTATAAATAAGACAAGCATGAATGAAGTTTAAATATCAATTCCGCACGTTTGTCCCTACTCATCATCTCCAGTTTCTTTCCTCTAATTCTCTTTGAAGCGCTTCAGCCCCCATCACACCATCTATACTGCTATATTCACGTTCCCAATAATCTTCACACTGCTAAACTCGACAGCCACTTCTCAGTCCTTCTTCTAACTGACCTCTCAGCAGTCAGCTGCCCACTTCCTACTCCTTGAAATTCTGTCATGGCTTGCTTCCAGGCCACACATTCCCCTGGTTTTCGTCCTCCCTGGATTTCAGTCACTTTGTGGCTACAGTCTCCAAGCCCTCAATTTTAGGACCTCTTCTCTTCCATACCTACACTCAGTCCCTTATACGTCTATTAGAGTCAATCTCGTAGCTTCCAAAGCGAATCTGCTATATGCTTATTAACACCAAATTTATATCTGCAGTCTGGACTGTACCGAACCAAGCTGGAGAGGAGCGAAGGCCCAGGGATTGGTCCGCAATGGGCACTACGGCTGGTAGGGTCGTGGGGGACCCGCAGGCTATGGAATTCAGAGGTGGGGTACGGGTGGAGGTGAAGGCGCAAGCCTGACCTGCCGGAAGGTCCGCAGCACGGAGACCAGCACGGAACCCGCCATGTTGTCCGCCGCCACAACAAGTCGCTACAACTTTATTGGCACCGCAGGATTACGCAGGGCTCGAGGGGCGGGGCCTAGCTATAGGGGCGGGGCAACGCGGCGGGCAGGATTTAAAGGGTTAGGTATGAGATTTGAGCTCTCGCGGTATTTCACGGAATTTAGGCAAACAAAGGTGGAACGAGTTTGGTGTCACTGGCTCGGTGTCATTGTGTTGTTCGGCTCTTGCTCCCTTTTCCCTCCATTTTACTCAGCGCCTTAAACCTACGTCTTCACCTACCTCCTTTCCTTACGCCCCTGTCAGTATCTCTTTCCCCGAGCTCCTCTCGGTCCCGTCCAATTTGCTCCTCATATTCTCCCCTCAGTGTCGGGCACTACTTTCCAGAAACCTAGACATTGTTCCAGGTCCTTCTGTCGTCCTTCCTGTAGATCCTGCAGATCCCTTCTTTCACTCCACCATAATGGTGGTGTGATGAAGATAGTTCTCTTCTCATGCATGTCTAGGGTATTTAATATACATTATATCTGTATTGGGGTTTCTGGGCTTAAATATTTGGGGGGCAAAGGGGTTGTTGCATCGCCCTTTCAAACTTGCTGTTTTGAGTACACTACAGGGAACTTTAGGTCGTCTTCATAGCAGCTGGGGTTTTGGGTGGAAAGATTGTTTTGGGTTTGGGGCTGGGACCCTCTGGACATAAGCCAAGTATCACTCCTTACAGTCTTGTTAGAACTGTATGAAGGAGCATATTAGCTTGGCGAGTACCCGTATCATAGATGAGTAGGCGGATATAGTGAGGAGAGTCTCAGCTATTTACATCTGCACTGTTAACAGTGGAGCCTTCTGAGAGAAAGGAGAACAGAACGCAAACTCCCTTCTTTGGAGGATCAAGTGTATTGGAACATACGTAATGGAGTGAGGAGGTTCTGAGAGCCCAGCTGGTGGGAAAAGACAACATGAGCCCCTGCCATGTTAGAATCAGAAGTCTCTGATCAGCATCAGATCAGCAGCTGTCTCAAGCCCACGTAACACTTTGTCCCTCTCTTACTATTGAGGGTTATCTCCCATAATTAGCTCGTGAAATGGGTACACTGTGAACTTTTTCTTTCTTTCTTTTTCCAAAGCATCTTTTTTTCCAATAGGTGATAGTTTTATTCTACATTACTGGGAACAAAGCCAAGAACCCACCTCCACAATCCCACAGGAAGAACAATCAGGAGGATTACATACATCTGTACTTGGCACACGACCAGCCATGTCTTGAGAAGTGGTCAGAAAGGCCAGATTGAAACCACAGGAGCTGATGAACCTGTGTTTGTTATGGTGACAGTGGTAAATTAATGGTGGATGAAGAAGTAGTCATGGATCTAGTGCTAAGGTGTGGTGGGGTGGGTGTCCATACCTTGGGAGTTGCTAGTGCAGCCCTCCTGGCCGCTTACCAGCTTATCATAAAGGACATTACAAAGGATACAGATAGAGAGCTAGTTGGAAGAGGTGCATGGGGTAAGGTATAGGGCAGTAATGACAAACCTTTTAGAGCTTTCAATGATAGAAACAGCCCTCTGTGGCACTCGTAGTATAGGGGAAACACATGGAGCTTTCAGGCCCTTTCCACCTTCCAGGAACCTCCACACCTTCACCTCCCCAGGAATTCCCGAAAGCATCTTTAAATGGCATTAGTGACATTTTTAAAATTATGGTACAATGCACAATGAACTTAGCCCATTTTGTGCAGCTATAACAGAATAACTAAGACTGAATAATTTATAAAGAACATACTTATTTCTTACAGTTCAGGAAGCTGGGCAGTACAACATCAAGGGGCCTGCATCTGGTGAGGGCCTTCTTACTGAGTAATCCAGAAGGGCAAGACAATATGAGAGTGAGCAAGACAGCCACGCTCACTTTTTAAAAATGTCTTTTAAGTCTGTCTTTATATCTTTTTAAAAAAGAGCAGTGGCTTTTTATTAGTATATGTCTGTGATACATAAGGAATCTATTCATCATGGAGTATTGGTGCATATATAGAACATACTGCAGTGGATCTTTACTTTCCCTTCACCTCCACTCCCTCCTGTCCCCGCCCATCCCGAGATACCCTCCCATCCCCACAGTCTGTCTCCCTGTTTCCTGTCGTGGTTTATAACACGCCTACTCTCAAGACAGTGAACCTGCTTCCGTGAGGGCAAGGTGAACGCACTGGACCTGATCTAATCACTTTTTAAACGTCTTGCCTCTCAACACGGTTGCACTGGGGATTCAACTGCCAGCGCATAAACTTTAGGGGACACATTCAAAGCAAACCATATATTTTAAAAGTTTACCATCCTCATGGCTTTAAGTGCTCAGTTCAGGGGCGTTAACTACATTTTAGGTTGTCGTGCAACCTTTATCATCCATCTCTGGAACTTTATCTTCCAAAACTGAAGCTCCATAACATTAAATAGTTTCTCCTTCCTCTCTCCCCCAGCCCCTGGCAACAAGTCGACAGATAGGTAAAAGAGCTAGATTGATAGGTCAGATATACTTAGAATTGGACCATATATTAAAACATAAAAGTCATTGAATAAGTGGTACTGGAGTAACTGGATCTGATTTGGGAAATTTCTTTAAATTATAGTTTTACTTCTTATCATGCATTAAAATAAAATTTAAAGACCTAAATATGGCTGTAGTTTTTAAACATCTAAATCCCAGCAGACAATTCTCAGAACATCTAATAACATTAAAAGCGTTCAGCCGCACTAGTTTCCAAGAAAATGCAAATTAAAACAATGAGATAGATTGAAACTAACAAATTAGCAAAGGCTTAAAAAAATTCAGTGTTGCAATAGGTATAAGGAAATGAGTAAATTCATACCCTACTGGTAGGAATATAAATGGGCATGCCTTGTTACAGAGCTGTTTGACAAGTTTTCTTCAAAGTTGATATCTATTGATGCAGTTATACCACTTTGAGGAATCTTTTCCAAGGAAATACTGAGAAACTTTAAATTTTTATATAAGAACATTTACCATGGGATTATTGATAACAAGAGCAAATAAATAAAAGTGCAACAGTGTAGGGAGAATTAAATGAATTAAAAAAAAATTACAATTCTAAATTTTAAAAATCTGATGCCACAATGAATGTAATCATTATGTACTGCAACACATACTAATTAAAAAATTTAAAATATCTGATGGGTTTCAAATTTTACAGTATTTTTAATAGAATCAGGTATAGATGGAGATTAGAAAAAAGATTAGGATGAAGATTATTGTCTTTTAGATGCAAATTTTCCAATTTTCTTATGATTTTTAAATTTTATTTTTCCTCTCATTTTTGTTGGTAATACAGACTCTTAGGGTTCATTTTGGCAGATTTGCACATGCACATAACAGACATTGATCACTGTCACCCCACATCACCCTCCTGCTCACCACACCCTATTTTCACTTTTTAAAAATGTATATATTTTGTTCATATCTATTCCTTCATTATCTGCCTTTGCATACCCCATCCCTCTTACTCCCTTCCTCTTATCTAATAATAGTCTCTCTTCTACTTGTCATTTTTTTAAGGTTCTGCATGTTAGGGAGAACATGCAATATTTGTCTTTCTGAGGATGGCTTATTTCACTCCACATCATGGTCTCCAGCTCTATCTGCAATAACAGAATCTACTTCTGATGGCTGAATAATACCCCCTTGTGTATATACACCACATTTTCTTATCCATTCATCTGTTGATGGGCACCTAGGCTGGTTCCACATCTTGGCTATTGTATATTGTGCCACAGGTATGCAGGTATCTCTATAGTACTCTGACTTAACTCCTTTGGGTACATAGCAAGGGGCGGTATAGCTGGATTAAATGGTAGCTCTATTTTTAATTTTATGAGGAAATGCTACACTGATTTTCATAGTGGCTGTACTAGTTTATATCCCACCAGCAGTGCAGATGGGTTTCTTTTCCCCTCCATCCTCATAAGAGTTTATTTTTATTTATTTATCTATTTATTTGTTTATTTAGTATTCTTGATGATAGCCATTTTGAGTAGGGTGAGACTGAATCTCAATATAGTTTTGATTTGCATTTCCCTAATGGCTAAAGATGTTGAACATTTTTCATATATTTATTGACTATGTGTACTTCTGTTCATTTGCCCACTTATTGATTGTACTATTTGATTTTTTGGTGTTTTGAGTTTATATATTCTAGATATTAATACTCTGTCAGAAGAGTAGCTAGCAAATATCTTCTCTCATTCCTTAGATTGTCTTTTCACTCTGTTGCCTGTTTCCCTTGCTGTGCAGAAAATTTTAATTCAATGTAGTGCCATCTGTTGATTCTCATTCCTATTTCCTGTGCTATAGATGTCCTGTTCAGGAAGTCTTTGCCCATGCCTATAGCTTCAAGTGTTTTCTCTGTGTCTCCTTTTAGAAGTTTCAAACTTTCAGGTCTTCTACTTCGGTATTTGATACATTTTGAGTTGGTTTTTGTACAAGGTGAGAGACAGGGATCTATTTTGTCTTCCATAAGTGGATGTCCAGTTTTCCCAGCTGTGAAAGAGGCTGTCTTTTTTCCAATATGTATTTTTGGATTCTATGTCCAGAATCAGACAGCTGTAATTGTGGGGGTTTGTTTCTGTCTCCTCTATTCTGTTCCAATGGTCCACATGTCTATTTTTGCGCCAGTATCATGCTGTTTTTGTTACTACAGCTCTGTAATATAATTTGGAATTAGGTATTTTGATGCCTCCAGTATACATGTATTAATTTTAGACTCACATGTTGAATTTAACTTAAAAATATTAACCAGTTCTTGTCTTTTTATGCCTCTATTATTTCACCCAAAATATTTTAAAAGGGTGTATGTCAGTGGTGAAGGAAATTCCTGATCCCCATCAGTATCCTCCACTTATTCCAAGGGATGGGGCAATCAGAACTGAGTCCAAAGAAGCAGGAGATTTAAAATTTGAGGGTATTTGCTTTATTCATATTTAGAGCCACATCATTCACT